TCATCACCTTCAGTGTATCGCGCACGCACTGTGTCATCTTCTCTTCCCTATGGGAGGGGGAGGGGGAGGGAGGAGAAGGACAAGGAGGGCGGATGAGGAAGCACACGTTGCGCCACTGAGTAACTGGAGGGGGGGGCAATCCACGCGACCAGATCAACTCAAAAAACAAAGAGTCTGGAGGCCTCGTTAGCTAGCTTAAACTACCCAAGACGTCCCCAAGCCACTCTGCACATGAGGCGACTAGTTACGTGAACCACTCACGCATAAGAATAGTTGCGAGACGTGCAGAACGCGGGAAGGCTCCGCTCACTGACTGAAATCTGGGTCCAATGGGCCACTGGGCGACCTCCCGGGAGGTCTCGTGCTGATGGGCGTGCGACGTCACTATGATGGGCTCCCAGCAGCCCTCGAAAGAAGCGACGGTTTCGCAGTTCGAAGCCCCCAGGTACGGCGCGGTCTCAGTCGGATGTGCGTGAGACATCGCTATGCTGCACCACCGAGGAGCCCACGAAATCGCAGCTCGCAGTTCGCAGCTCCCAGGGACGGCGCGGTCTCATTCTGATATGCGTAGGACGTCACTTTGCTGGGCCCCCAAACAGCCCACGAAAGTATCGACAGCTTCGCAGTTCGCAGCCCCCAGGTACGGCGCGGTCTCATTATGATGCGCGTGGGGCATCACTATGCTGGATCCCCGCAGCAGCCCCCCAAAACTGGCGACAGATTCGCAGTTTGCAGCCCCCAAGGACGGCGAGGTCTCATTCTGATGTGCGTAGGAAGTCACTATGGTGGACCCGCCAGCAGCCCTCTAAATAAGCGACGGCTTCTCAGTTCGCAGCCACCCAGGGAGCAGCGCAGGAGAAGGCGGGAGGAGGAGGGAGGCGGGAGAGGAGGTGGGGACCACAGTGCTGCTCAGAACGAGAACCCAGCGCATCAGGGTTGGGAAAAATTTGAACGAGGAGGGGCCAAGATAGTCTAAATACACTTCCAAGCTGATCCCAGATCGATAGATCCGCGAAGGCGTTGATAGCTGACTCCTGGATCTGCTCAGACTGATCCCGCGCTTTGGTTCGAGGGCTACCACGCGTCTCTGATCCCCTGCTTGCTACCGCACGTCCTTGATCCAGGCAGCCCGCCTCGGCAACGCGTCTGGATGGGCAAATGGGGTCGCGCGGAACAAAAAGAAGGATTCCAACGACCACCGCCACTATGCTGAGAGCGTAAGTTGTCGAAGTGTTTGTTCCAAACATCTGCTAACCTACCCATGCTTCAGAACAACAATTCTGCGCGAAGCCGTGCGACAGCGCTAGGAGGGTATGATTGGGCTTATGCGGCCGAGGCGCGGAATGCGACAGCGGCGCATGAAAATGTAGAGCCGCAGCGGCAGCGGCAGAAACGGCACCGTCAAAGTGGAGGAGGGGAACGGGAGCCAAATGGGAGAAGCCGACTCCTGCTTCGGGGAGTCCCTGCCAGTTACCGTTGCATGCCAGACTGGCCGTCGGATGGAGAATGCAAAAGGAAGGCAGGCGTCCGATGTGGCATGGGCATGATCGGGCAACCGGGGGCGAGTGTCAAGACCTGTGCCCTGGAAGAGTCAAATGAAATGTGCGTTCACGCCTTTGTCATCCTCTCCGGCATCTGCGGTTCAGCCTCGGGCTCAAGCCAACGTCAACGGATGAGCGATTTCACTCGGCTGGGGGCTGCGATAGCCTGGGGGAGCGAGAGAGGAGGGAGAGGGGAGGGAGGAGGGAGGGGAGGAGGTAGGGGAGAGGAGGGCAGGAGAACGACCAAGAGAGACAGGGGAAAGCAATATGCATAACTATGCAAACACACAAATTTTATATATACATAGACATTTACATATACATATACATATACATATACATATACATATACATATACATATACATATACATATACATATACATGTGTATATATATATATACACAAATATACAGAACTATCCACAGGAGGGAGAAGCAGGAGGGAGGGCTCCCAAGAGCGGCCCAAGAGGCAAAATTCAGTAGTGTTTCAACAAGTTTGGAAGGATTAGGGTGTACCCGCCTTTTCGGGTTCCCGACGCTCCAAGACGGCCCAAGAGACCCCAAACACCGCCCAAAGACGGCCCACGAGGCCCCCAAGAGCGTGCCGAGACGGCTCTAGAGGCCCCCAGGACGGCCCAAGAGGCCCCCAAAATGGCTCAAGAGAGCCCCAAGAACGCCCCAAGAGGAATCCCAGAGGGGGAAGACTAACCGACATTTCGAGCTCTCGCCCCAAGAGGCCCCCAAGAGGCCCAAGAGGCCCCCCGGAGGCCCAAGAGGCCCCCAAGAGGCTCCCAAGAGACGTCAAAACTGCACCCCAGAGGCCACCGAGAGCCCATCGAAGAGACCCCAAGAAGCATCCATGCGGACTCTGACCCACAACCCAGGCACGGTGGCAGGATGGTCCGAAGGCCACTAGATCCGCCGCACCCTGTTGATTTCTATCACAAGGGCGCCTGGCGTGCTAAGGTTTTGGTGCTTTGGGGTTGTTTCTAAGACTCCCCCTGGGTCTTCGGCGCACCAATCCGGACACCCAGAAACTGTATGTAAATGTCAATGCCGCTCTCGCCCAAGGTGGCCCAAAATGGACTAGATGCCTAAGATGGCCCAGGACGGCCTCCAAGATGCCTCCAAGACAGCCAAGATGGCCGCAAGATGTCCCCAAGACGGTCCAAGATTCACCTCAGACGGCCTAAGATGGCCTCAAGATAGCCCAAGACGGCCCAAGAGGCACCCAAGAAGCCCCTAAGACGGCCGAAGAGACCTCCAAGAGGGGTCCTTCAGGGGTTCCTACGTTTTGAAAGAATGGGGCATTTGCTTCGAAACGGCCTCCGGTCGGCGCCAGGTGACCCACGAGGCTCCCAAGATTGTCACGAGACGGCCCAAGAGGCCACGAAGACGCCCAAGATGGTATTCAAGACAGCCCTGAAACGCCCCAACAGGGCCCCAAGACGGCCCGCTGAGGCTCCCAAGACGGCTTCCGACGGCGTCAGATGGGCCAGGAACGCCATAGTACGGCCAAAGAGGCCTCCGAAGGCCAAGAAGTCCCTTAGAGGCCCCCAGAAGCCTCCAAGAGGTCCCCAAGAGGCCCCAGGAAACTACCAAGAGGGCCCATGAGGCCCTCAAGAGGCCCCTCAGAGACTCCAAAGGAGCTCCCAGGGAGGCCCCAAGAGGCCCCAAAGGGCCTCCTCCTCCTCCTCCTCCTCCTCCTCCTGCTCTCCTCCTCCTCCTCCTCCTCCTCCTCCTCCTCCTCCTCTTCCCTCCTTTTTCTCTCCTCCTCCTTCTCTTCCTCCTCCTCCTCATCCTCCCCCTCCTCTTCCTCCCTCTCCTCCTCCTCCTCCTCCTCCACCTCCTCCTCCTCCTCCTCCTCCTCCTCCTCCTCCTCCTCCTCCTCCCCCTCCTCCTCCTCCTCCTCCTCCTCCTCTTCCTCCTGCATGTTCCTCTCCCCAGTGTTCCCCCAAGGGGCTCTACAACAGCTGGGGGAACACATCGACCAAGAGCGTGGCCAGATTTCGGCCCCAAACGTTTGGCCGCATGCGCGTTTCCAAAAAGCAGTTGTCGGCGGTGATTTGCCACAGGCGCCCTTACTAAGTCTACATATCATTCGCAGGACAGGGCTGGATCTAGACGTTGTGTTTCGTTTTGTTTTCGTGTTGCTTTTCGTTTTGCTCTACCTGTTCCCCTGTACCTCCCTCCCAAAACGAAGAACTAAACACAGCCGAAGTCCAGCAAAACACCGTCTAGGTCTAGCCCTGTCGTAAATAGGAGTGGGAAGCAGGAGGGATTACAATCAAAACGTGTATTAAGGACGGGTGGTAAGGACGCAAGACCCTTGGAGGCCGAGGCTGGGAATTGTTGGGCGGCGGGCGACCAGCGATCACGGCAAAAGACGGGCCGCAGAGGCAAGGACAGAGGGGCACCCTCGATGAAGGCGCGCGTCCTTACTGGGCGCGTCGACTGCAATCAATCACTCCCGCCGGGCCCTGGATCGATTCACGACTGGCAGCTCGGCTGCAGCGCTTGCGCTCGTCTGCCCAGCCAGGCGCCCAGCGATCGAGCTAGGTGGCTCGGCGCAGCCCGCCTCGAAGGCGAGAGGCTCTCGGCTGACAACGCCCGGGCGGGTGCACCCATCGGGCCCTGGATCGAGCGACGACTGGCAGCTCAGCTGCAGCGCTTGCGCTCGTCTGCCCCAGCCGGGGGCCCGGTGATCGAGCGAGGCTTGGCGCAGGCCCGCCTCGAGGGCGCGGGGCTCTCGGCTGACAGCTCCCCGGGCGGGTGCCGCTCCGCCCCCCCCCACCCCATCCGGGGGAGCGGCAGCGGAGGCGAGCCCCCACAGGGGCGGAAGTGTGGGCCACGAGTGGAGAGCAGAGCAGCCACCCCCGTGATCAGCACCCCGGCGAGCGAAGCCGTTTAGTGAACGCGCCCAGGGAGGAAAACGGAACAGGGCAGTGCGGTTTGGTAGACGCCCATGGCGGCTCAGTAAACGCCAACTGTCGGGGTCGGGGTGGATTTCCCGCCCTTGAACGAGGGGCCCCTAGAAACTGGATGCAGGAAACGGCACAGTGGCCGCATGGAGGGCAAGGGATGGAGCTGGAGCAGGGAGGAGCGAGGAGGAGGAGGACGACGGCCAGGAGAGATGACGACAGCAAGGGGGGCGCAGCGCAAGCACCCACGAGGTCCCGTCGCCCGGGTTCCTTCGACGCCTCTCGAGATCGCGTTCCGAGCGTTCTCCCTTCGGCTCCTCCTCCAGCGCCCTCCCCCTCCCCGCATCCTCCATCTCCCAGGGATGGTGCCCGGGAGGAAGAGGACGACGAGGAAGACATTGATGATGGTGAAGAGGAGGAGGAGGAGGAGGAGGAGGAGGAGGAGGAGGACAAAGCGACCAAACATGATGAGAAAGAGGGGGTGGTCGAGGAGGGACTCAAAGGCGAGGGGCTGATAGCTCAGGCCGGGAGCAACATCTCACAGGCGGTGGACAGACAGCGCGGGCTGCCCTCCAGGTGGAGGCTGCGGGACACTCCGGTCGACCTGGGCCGAGGCGCAGCAAGAAGAGGAGAACAGATAATGGAGAGGCGGGGGAGCAGGAAACGGGAGCCCCTCCTCTCTCTCCGGTGTGCATGTGATGTTCGCCATTCCTCTCCCCAGGACGTGTGCTTGATCCTGCATGGTTTTTGCCAGTCCCAGGGTCTGCCACACGCGGGGGGCACCCCGCGATCACAATCGCACCGGTGTTCGACAGGGATAGCGAGGAGGGAGGAGATAAGAAGCAGCAGAGGAGGGAGAGGAGTGAGAGGAGGAGAAGGAGGAGGAAGAGGAATAAGATGAACAAGGGGAGGAGGAGGAGGAGGAGGAGGAGGAGGAGGAGGAGGATAGAAGAGTGAGAAGGGGTCGGCAGACATGGTCACGATGCTGCTGATATTCTCCTTCTCCTCCTCCTCCTCCTCCTCCTCATTCTCCTTATCCCTCCCTCCCTCCCTCCCGCCCTCCCTCCCTAACTCCCTACCTCCCTCCCTCCCTCCCTCTCCTTACTCCGTTCTTTCTCCGCTTCCGTTTCCTCCTCCCCTCGTCCTCCTTCCTCCCTCGACCCTTGTTCTCCCAATCACTCCTCTTCCTCCCTACCTTGGCTTGTCAGGGTACCACTGGGATTATTGTCATCTTGCATGGCCCAGCGCTCATCGATAGTCAGCCCGTTTGATCAGCAGCAGGGACGGGGGTGGTCATGATGCTGATGATGATGATGCTGATGCTGATGCGGATGCTGATGCTGATGCTGATGTTGCTACTGCTGCTGATGATGATGAAGATGAGGATGAGGATGAGGATGATGATGATGATGATGATGATGATGATGATGATGATGATGATGATGATGTGATGATGGTGATGATGAATGATGATGATGATTATGATGATGATGATGGTGATGATGATGATGATGATGACGATGGTGATGCAGATGATGAAAATGATGATGATGCTGCTGATGATGATGAGGGTGATGATGATGATGATGATGATGATGATGATGATGAAGATGAGGATGATGATGATGATGATGATGATGATGATGATGAGGATGATGCTGCTGATGATGATGGTGGTGATGATAATGCGAATGCGAACGCGAATGTGAATGCGAATGCGAATGCGAATGCGAATGCAAATGCAAATGCTAATGCTAATGCTAATACTAATGATGGTGATGGTGGTGATGATGATGATGATGATGATGCTGTTGAGAATGACGATGAGGAGGAGAAAGGAACATGAGGAGCACGAGGAGGACGAAGACCACCAGCAGGAAAAGGAGGGACAGCAGTGGCAGAAGGATGTGGAAGAGCAGGGGGGCGGCACAAGGAGCCGGAGGGAGGAGGAGCCGCAGCAACGAAATGAGGATGCGAGGACATGCCCAACGAAGACGACGGCCAGACGATGACGGGACTGCGGCGACCAGCGAGAAGGAGCGCGAGGACGACGAGGACGGTGCTGTTGAGGGGACAAAAAACTGCCGATACGGCTACTCCCCAGACCTCGCCTGGGGCGCACCCTGACCGGAACTTCACAGAGAATCCAGCCGGGGCGACGAGGGCTCTCCAGGACGAGCAGCGGCATCGGTACACCTTCCTCCTCTGAGACGCGACGACGACGACGACGGCGACGACGACGACGACGACGACGACGACGACGACGACGAGAACGGAGGCCAAAGAAGGGGGCCGAGCCAGCGGCGCCAAGGCCGGCCGGGGCCGCAGTGTGCCGCCAGCCGCCTGCGCCTCGCGCCGCTCTGGCGGGAACTCGTGGGACAGGTCGATCTGCGGAGCGCGCGGCGCGCGCGGAACGCGCGCGCGCGCCTGGGAGGAAAACGACGGCGACGATGGCGGCGACATCGGCGACGGCGACGGCGACGACGACGGCGACGACGGACGACGGACGACGATGACGACGACGAGGGCCAGAGTGAGCCAAAGATGCTTAACCGATGCTGCGATACACCCTCCCGTCCCAAGTCCCTTCCTCATACGCCCCTACAGGTCCTCATTGTCACTAGTGGAAGCGCGCCCTCAAACGGCCAACGCAGATGGGCCTGTCAGTTTGGCGCGGGCCCCGTTTTGAACAGGAATTTCCTTGCGCATGTCTGGCGCGTAATCAGGAAAGCGAAGAGCAACATTCACACAATTTAGCGAGGTGTCCCATGAAATCAAAGTTTGTCCCCACACACACACACAAAAACAAAAAACAAAAAAGGGCAGCCCCCACCCCTTCACTTGTGCAACTGCCGCACGCACAAGTTTACATGTGTTGCCACGAAGTCCGAAGAACTATAGATTATGCGTGCGTGTGTTACCACAGTGGATACCAAACAATGTGTTTCTAACCATATACGTTGTGTAGTCTGCGTTGTACAATATGTGGTGGAATTCACCTTGCGGAACTTGAAACTGTCGACCCCACTGCTCGCACAATCATCCCACCCACCCACCCGAAATTTGGTTTGAAAAAAACCCTGCGGAGGCGATTGCGAGGAGTGGCATTGGCTGGTGCATCTCTGCGGCCGCGCTAGCCCGCGCATGCTCGCGCGCACAGCGGCCAGCTTGTTTGGCGCGACCGACGCGGCCGCGGTGGCGCTGACCGCTTGACGCTTCCCAACGGGCACCTCAGTGCAAGTCGGTGACTTGGGCGGGCGCGGTATCATGGCAACGTCGACGACGGTAAGCACGATGATGATAGTAGCGATGGTGTCGATGTTGACAACGACGACGGCAAGGCCAATGACGGCGCCGACGCTGATCACGCCGAAGACGATGACGGCGTCCTCGCGTCGGTGGTGAAAGCTTTGGAAAGAGTTCGACACGCGCGCGCAGCCGACGCGCGAGTAGCCGCGTGGTTTTATTTGACACTGATCGTGCCCCCCAGCACGCGCGCAAGGGCGTTCGAATGATTTCGGCATGCGGCGCGAAGAGGCCCGCTTGGACGAATCCCACCAGCCCCTTAGGGCATGAGTGGTTTAGAAAGCCACCTCTGTCCAACCCCTTTCTTCCCCTTCGGGAAGGCGTTTATCATTGCTCGTTATGAATATTTACCCCCTCCATCAGGCGAGCGGCGTCCAACCAGGAACCATGCCGACACCATGCCGACCCGCCCCCCACCATCCTTGTCAAAAAACAATACAGACCACAATTTGTCTCCACATTTGGAGCATGCACGGCCAACCCGATGCGGCCGCCCCCACCATCCCTGTCAACAAAGAATGCAAGTTACACTTTGGGGTAAAGTCTTGAATCATGTTCGTGATGCCCGCGAACACTCTGTACTGGTTTTGACAGTGACGGCGGGGGTGCCAGCATGTTCCCTGCCGTGCGCAGGGCTACCACCTCTGACAAAAACACTGCAACATGAACCTCGCGGCTGAATCTGGATCGTGCGCGGCCATCCCGCGATCACTGTCAAATGGTTTTTGACAGTGACCACGGGGGTGGTGGCGCGTGGCCTGCTGTGCGCAGGTCCAATAGACACAACGATGGGCATTGGTCTTCGACAAGGATGGCGGGGGCCGACATGTTTCCCGATGTGTGCTGTCACGTGCGCAGACGCACCTAACGCACTCTGCACATGCCCCGAACATGGCGCACCTGGCGCGGCTGGAGTTTGCGGCACACATGGCGCACTCGGAGCACGTGGCGCATCTGGCGCACCAGAAGTGCCTGGCACGCTCGGGCCCCAGGGGTGACTGGCGCTTGTGGCGCCCCTGGCACGCGTGGCGCACCTCGCCCAAGCGACGCGCACCTGGGGTCCGCTTTGGTTCCCAGTAGCTGCCCATCCAAAGACGACCGCTGAACATGCTCAGGCTAGGATGTTACGTCTGTGTTGGGAGGGCGGGTGGGAGTGAGCTAGACAATTTGCGGGGGGTGGGTAGCTTGACCCCTCTCCCTACCCTACCCGCCCCCCCCCCCGGGCCTGGAGGGGGGGGCCGCGGAAGGGCCGCGGGTCGTTGGAGCGTCCAAAACGGCCTCGGCGAGGAAGCCAAAATCATTGGCGCTACGGAAGTTTTGGTCCCATCTTGGCCTCTTGGGGGGGGGACCTTGAGTGAGACCGCGCTCCTTTTTGAGCCGCGGCCTCCAAGATGGCCTCAAAAGCGCTCCCAAGGCTCCCAAGAGCGCCTCAAGACGGCCCCAAGAGGCGCCCAGGAGACTCCAAGAGGCACCCGAGAGGCCTGTAAGGGGCTCCCAAGAGACCCCCAAGAGCTCCCAAGAGGCCCCCCGAGACGCTCCAAGAGGCCCCAGGGACCGCCAAAAGGCCCCCAAGACGCAAGAGAGGCCCAAGAGAGCCCCAAGACGGCCCCAAGAACGCCCAAGAGTGTCCCAAGAGCACTCCAAGAGGGGCCCTTCCTCTGCATGCTGCCCACTTCCCTTATCGAGGCAAATCCTCTGGGCATCGTTTCTGGTTACACGGTACTCTTCCCTAAACTGGCTGCTTTAGGATGGGTTGGCGGGGACTCGCGAAAAGTAAACAATTCCACGAAAACGTTGGACAACCCGATCGATTGCAAGAAAAACGCAACAGCGCGAGCGCGCGTTGTTTGCAAGCTGTTGTTGCGATGAACATGTTGTTATATACATATAAACATATAAACCAATACGTATTCATGTATTCAGATGTGTAAATATAACACTAAAATGTTTGGACACTCGGTTTTGAACTCGCCACGAAACCGACAAGTTTTTGTCGGATTTCGGCACACGCGCGCGCGCCGACGCACGCGCGCACTTCGTCCCAGTTTTTGCGAAGAATTTTCGCGCCGACACACGCGCAAGGGCGCTCGAACGATTTCGAAATGCGCGCGCGAAGCCCGCCTGGTAGCATTTCCTGAACACGGTGGACAATCGATGGTTTTCCGAAGAATTCGCAAAAGCGCGCGCAAGATCTACATTTGTGAGGAGAGAGTAAAACAACAAAACAAAACAAAAACAATAAAATAAAAACGAAAACAAAAACAAAAAAAAACGCGTTGCGAAACCAAATTGTGCTTAATGTTTCTGGGACACTCGTTTTGGAAATTCTTAAGCAACCGACGGTGTATGAAGGATTTCGGCACACGCGCGCGACTACGCGCGCGTGCCCGGGCTGGGATGGTACGAGTTCATGTTTACGGTGAACGATGGGGGCAGAATCACACGTAAACTGCACACACCCAGGGGGGCGTGATATCTCCGGTTTCGGGAGGGTGGTGGAGTGTGCCTTCTTTTTAGAAAAGAGAATTTACGTGGTGCGATCCATGTGGCACTACAGTCTACGCGGTGCAACCTATGTGGTGCAATCCACCAACGCTCAACTTGAAGTCGTCCACTCCAATGCTCGCGCAAACATCCCACCCATGCAGCGGCATTGCGACGAGTGCTTGGCGCTGACCGGTGCATTTCTGCGGCCGCGACAGTCCGCGCAGGCGCGCGCGCGCGGCGGCCAACTACTTTGGCGCGACCGACGCAGCCGCGGCGGCGCTGACCGCTGGGCACATCCCAGCGGGCACTTCAATGCGAGTCGGCGATTTGGGCGGGCGCGGCATCACGGCAACGTCGACAACGGTTGACGCGGCGATGGTAGTAACAAAACTGGCGACGAGACTGACAGTGACGACGGCGCGGCCAGCGACGGCGCAGATGCTGATCGCGCCGCCAACGATGACGGCGTCCTTGCGTCGGCGATGAAGGTTTTGGAAAGAGTTCGACACGCCCGCGCGGCCGACGCGCGACAGTGGCTCGCATGATACCATTTGGCACGGGTCGCGCCCCCCCCGCCCCCAGCACGCGAGCACGGGCGCGCAAATGATTTCCGGCATGCGGCGCCAGAGGCCCGCTTGGCAAACTTCCACGAACAACGTTGGAACACCCATGATTGTCGGAAAGAAAAAACAGAATGAGCGGGGGAGGAAGAAGAAAAAACAAACAAAAACAAAAAACATAAAAAAACGAGCGCACGTTTTCTTGAAGACGGGCATTGCGAAACGATGCGTTTTCATATGAATGTTTGGACACTCGGTTTTGCACTCTCTACGGAAGTGAATGTTCATGACAGATTCCGGCACGCGCGCGCGCGACGATGCGCGCGCATGCTTCGTTGTTTCTTGTTGTTGCGAAGGATTCTCGCGACAGCGCGCGCGCAAGGGCGTTCGCACGATGTAGACATGCCCATTTGGTGGCATCTTCTGGAAATAATGAAAAACCGATGGTTCCCTTGAGAATTCGCAAGAGCGCGCGCGCAAGCTTTTTTTGATTGAAAATCCGGCTCGGCTCACCCAGGCTCGCCAGGTGGCTCCTCCCTCGGACTTGAAAGGGTTCTCGCGCTCGGCTGCGAGCTCGGCAGCGGCGACAGACAGAGCGCGCCACTGCGACGACGAAAAAAAATATATCGCCCAAGGGTGGCAGCCATCCGCGCCAGTCCGCACAGGCAGAGGGCGAAGAGGCCCTGGGCGCGGACGCCCCAGCAAATGGCACGTCTCGTCGCCGCCCAAGCCTCCCCTTCACTAAAAATATTGAATGCCTCAAAAACCCGAATTAGCCACCCTTCTCCACCCCCTCGAGACCGAAGACCCACTTGGGTAAGCTCCACCAGACTTCTTCAGGGCAGGGACCCACTTGAACCTTCTTCTTTTTGGGGGGGGCTCCACGACCCCTGCATTTGGGCGCCCCGAGATCCTCGACGCCGCGGGCGGCCGCGAGCTCATCCTCGAACAAGCGAAAGAAAACACAAACTACCTCATCCAACTCCCCCTCGCCTCCTCTACGCTCAGCAGCCACGGCGAGGTCACCCCGCGGCGGGGGCTTCGGGCTGGGACCTGGAGGAAGCACGAGAGGAAAAGCCAACGATCGGACAAGCTTCCGCACCTTATCCTTGAAGGACCTGCCACGCAAAGAGAATATGACAGGCCAATGCGTCTTGGCCCCCGTGCCCTCACCCCTTCGAACATGACTCGCTACCTCCAACAGAGCTCTGCGAACAACAAAGAAGTCAATGGTGCGCCAGGTCTCGGCCGTCGATCGGCACGTCGGCTCGGGCGCATGCACCACCGTGCCTCCTAGCCTCTCTGGCCAATTACTCGAAGTCAACTCCTCGTGCGCGCACTTCCAATCGCCACCTCTGATCAAGGGGATTCCTGGCCCGCGCACATACTCCAAGACGAGCGAGAAGGCGCTGACCATCAAGCCCCAGAGGGCCCCCAGCACACAAGTAAATGACCGCCAGGAAGCCTCCCAAGACGAACGCGCTAACGTGCGTGGCGAGAACCCTGCGGGGACCCGGGAGGCCCTAGTAAGATTGGGAGCCTTGCCCATGCCTATGTGGCTCTTGACCGCGATTGCCACCCCAGACGACAAACCTTCCTTATCCGTGACTTCAGACGGGTTGATCGCCAGGGCCCAGCTGCGTGCCTTCATGGAGCTCTCGCGGGCCTTGACTGAGTCGGCGTCGGTGGACACCTCCTGTAGGAAAACCACGGGGGGCTCTGTCTCACTGGTCAAGTACTGCACCAGGGAGGACTAGGACGCGGCGTTGCACTTCTCCAGCAATAAGGCCCTGCCCTGGCCGGGCTTCCTTCTCGAATGCGTCTTGGGGACCTCAGCTGCACACTGATTCAAAGGGCTTCGTAGCTCTCTCGGGGGGGGACAGGCCAAGACAACTCCCTAACAAACTAGGCTCGCTCTCGCGCGGGGCTATGGAGGGCGCTGCGCTGGCCCCCATCGCGTCCCACGTGGCAGAAAAAATGACAAACGGGACAGTGGAGCATCCTGGGCCACACGCCTCGCCTGGAACGCCTGCGTCCCAAGACCAGGAGCAAACCCCATTGGTCACATGGGCCGCGGCGTCCGAAAAGCTGGGCACAAGGGCACAACCAGCTGACGTGTGAGGAGGAGCACGTGGCCAAGCATCGGAAACGTCGGCGCCACAGTCCACCCACGGCGGGTTCGCAGCCAGCCGGTACCAATCCGCCCCCCAACCCAGGATGGGCAGGAACAGGGGTCGGCCCTGGGACCCCGCTGGACTCAGACTTGGCATGATAGGAGTATGGCTGACCCACGCTGTTTCCTGAACCCTCCAGCATCTGGTATGTTGCAGGGATGGCGTACTTCGAATCGAATCGCATATCGTCAGAACAGAGTGCCTACCGCGATGCTGGCACAGGGAAGGGCACAGCGCCCCAGTCTATGTCCTGATCGTTGCAGGCCCAGAAAGCACTAAAGAGAAGACTGGCAGTCACTTGAAGCCTTCTGATGGACCATGTCCGCTGCACGCTGGAACTCTGCATCGTCGTCTGAATCATCCACCGCCTGCGCCTGGGCTGCGCTAGCAGCGTTGTACGCCGCCTGCGCCACCGCGTTCGCCACGCCAGCCGGCTCCTGACCGAAGCGGTCATTGCCAATGATCTCGAAGCTGCCCCCCGAAAGAAGCTGTTCGATATCCAAGCCGTGCCTAGCCATGCCGTCTGATTTGTGCCCCGACGAAGGCACGTCCGCTGCGAGGGCCCGCACCGCCACATGGTACTTGGCCTCGCACGTCTCAGAATTCTGGAGGGCAAGTACCGCGTCCGACTTGGCACTCTTGAGCCGCACCTGCAGCTCGTCTGCCGCACGCACCACGGCCTCGAGCTGCTGCTTCTGCTTAGCCTGGTGCATCGCGTGCTTGGCCGCTCCGGCGCTCGGCTGCATTGGGCGAGAAGCCTCCTGCAACCCTCGCACCAGCTGCGTGTAGTGCTCCGCGGCTCCCTTCTCTCCCATCTCCTCTAGGGTGGACACCAGGCTCCGCAACTCAGGGACGCCTTCTGCGGTGTACTGCTTGCCTCCTCCAGCCCCCTTCGAAGTCCACCCCGATGATGAGAGCTGCAGACCCACAGGCATGGGGGCCAACGCTCCGTCACCAGGGGCACCTCCTGAGGTTCCTGGCGCCGCCGCCTGGCCCCCCCCCCCGCTGCGGCCGCCTGGCGGCTGCTGAGCCCAGACGCCAGCGGGGGCGTGGGGCACGGAGGGAGTGACGAACGACAAGGGCTGGTGGCAGTGCTTGCGCCACGTGTACCAGTCGAGGTTCTTCTTGCATCAGCATGCTGCGCAGGAGCCCTTCCTGGAGGTCCCGTCTGACCACTCTCACTTCTCCCGCGCTCTGCCCCGATCGATCCGCCAAGGAGCAGAAGGAGAAGGAACCACAAGCGCAGAACTGTGGGAGTCGGCGAAGATGTAATCGTGGTGGCCTGAGGGAACGCGTCCCAACAAACCTCGTGAGAAAATGACCGAGCCAATCCTGGCCCGCAACAGCAATGCCGTTCTGAAGAGGCTCGCTGTTGCAAGCATCATATCCTCCTCCTCCTCCGCCCTCCTCCTCCTCCTCCTCCTCCTCCTCCTCCTCCTTCTCCTCCACCTCCTCCTCCTCCTCGATCCTCCTCAATCCTCCTCCTCCTCATCCTCATCCTCCTCCTCCTCCTCTTCCTCCTCCTCGATCCGCCTCCTCCTCCTCGATCCTCCTCCTCGATCCTCCTCCTCCCTCCTCCTCCTCCTCCTCCTCCTCCTCCTCCTCCTCCTCTCCTCCGCTTCCTCCTCCTCCTCCTCCTCCTCCTCCTCCTCCTCCTCCTCCTTCTCCTCCTCCTCCTCCTCCTCCTCCTCCTCCTCCTCCTCCTCCTCCTCCTCTCCTCCTCTCCTCCTCTTCCTCCCCCTCCTCCCCCTCCTCCCCTCCTCCTCCTCCTCCTCCTCCTCCTCCTCCTCCTCCTCCTCCTCCTCCTCCTCCTCCTCATCCTCATCCTCATCCTTTTCCTTCCGCCTTCTCCTCCTCCTCCACCTCCTCATCCTCATCCTCCTCCTCCTCCTCCCCCTCCTCCTCCTACTCCTCCTCGATCCTCCTCCCTCGATCCTCCTCCTCGATCCTCCTCCTCGTCCTCCCTCCTCCTCCTCCTAGATCCTCCTCCTCCTCCTCCTCCTCCTCCTCCTCCTCCTCCTCCTCCTCCTCCTCTTCCTCCTCTTCTTCTTCCTCCTCGATCATCCTCCTCCGCCTCCCCACCGCCCTTCACTACCTCTGTGCACCCGGAGGAGGAGAAGCGTGCAGGAGCGGAGGCCTCTGCCGCCTCCGCCGTGGTCGTCGCCGCCACCGCCGTCGTCGTCGTCGTCGTCGTCGTCGTCGTCGTCGTCGTCGTCGCCACTGTCGACATCGTGGCCGTGGGCGCCGCCGACCTCGTCGTCGTCTCCGCCGCGTCGACGCCGTGGTCGTGGCCGTTGCCACCGCCAGGGCCAGGGAGCAGGCGGATCAGAGATCCGATGACTTGGCGTTGGTCAGCACGGGGTCCCCTGAACAGGACGCCCCGACCCTTTTCCCCAGGCGGGCGTCTCATCCCGAGTCTTTCTGGTTGACGGCCCCAAGGCGTGGCGAGGGCTCTGGAGGCCGAAAGCGGCGAGAGATCTCTGCATGGTCAGCCCGTGGGTGCGTGCCTAAGGTGTGGGCATTGATACCGCATGTGACCGCGCCTGCCCAGCAGGAGGGAAGAGAGGACGCACCAAGGGAGGGAAGGAGGGGCGCGGGACGAGCGAGGACGGGAGGCGAGGCCAGGAGGGAGAGAAGAAGAGGAACGGACGACAAGGGGGACGACAGAGGAAACGCGCCTGGAAAATCCGAGCGGCCGCATCTACTCCACCGCGGCAGACGGCAGCCTTGACGCAGCTGTCCGAGAGGGGGGGGAGGAGGAACACGAGGAAGAGGAGAGAGAGGGGGACGGCTGGCCAACCCACGCTGGTGATCGAGGATCCCGTCAGTACACCCCGTTACCACCACCCTGTACGGCGGGCGAATTCTCCAATGCGTGGAGGCTTGGGTCCTCCAGAAAACGTACGGGACGCCCCTGGAACCCCCACGACGCTCTCGGCGAGGCGTTCCTGCTAGCAAACAGCCCGAGGCGAAAGAACCGCCAACAACCAACGAAAAGCTGCGATAGCCAAGAGAAAACGCTACCCTGCACGTGGGCGGAGGGGGAGGAGGCGGAGGAGGAGGAGGAGGCGGAGGAGGCGCTCGTGGCTTGGGAGGAAAATGATCGAGGAGGAGGAGGAGAAGGATCGAGGAGGAGGACGAGGAGGAGGAGGAAGAGGACCAGGAGTTGGCGGAGGAGGAAACGAAGAAGGCGGAGACTCTTCTACCCGCGTCTGGCCAAGGGGTAACCCCGCTCCAACGTCTCCTTGTTTCACCCCCATAGAGGCGAAGGCCGTCGCGGGAGTTCGAAGAGGATCGATGAAGAGGAGGAGGAAGAACATAATCGAGAAGTAAGAGGAGCAAGAAGAGGAGGAAGAGGAGGACGAGGAGGAAGAAGACGAGAAGGAGGAGGAAGAGGCGGGAGAGGGGGAAGAGGAGGAGGAGGAGGAGGAGGAGGAGGAGGAGGACAAGGAGGAGGAGGAGGAGGAGGAGGAGGAGGAGGAGTTGAAGCAGGAGGAGGAGTTGGAGGAGGACGCAGGACGCATCATAGAACGGCGAAGCGTCCGAGAACGCGACGACGACTATCTGATACTGGGAGAGGGCGATGACACACCAGCCCTCCGAGAAAACCACACACACATTACGGCTTAGACTGGACGAGCCTGATGCCAATTGCTGGGTGCCTGCCTTCAGAGAGCCAGTCCTTGGCTCGCCGGCGGGCACGGTTGGGGGGGTTCGTGGGGCAGGGGTCACCAAGGGCCTCGATTTCGGCCGAGCCCGAGGCAACTCGGGCCCCGCAAAGCCCACAGAACAGGAAGGACCTTGCCCTGTGAAGATGGTGCCCGTCGCACACGAGTAGACTCCCACCCGCCTCCACACCCAAACTGGCAGCCGCAGCGGCATAGGCAACCTCACCCTCCCCCTCGGCATGCTGGCGCCAGCCAGGCCGCTCGGCCAGAGCAGCAAGCTGGCGCAGCATCTGCCCAGGCTCACACCTAGCCCCTGGCTTGAGCAAAGACTTGCCACTGGCTGGTGTCCGAGCAACCGCCAAACATTGCCTGCACTGCAACGCCGAAGAACCAGGAGCCAGGGGCACGGTATCGTGAGCAACAATAACCAGCCTCGGCCTTTCCTCCTTGGGCGGCTGTGGATGCGCTGGGGTAGCACCAGAAACATAATCTGAACCACTCGGGCCAAAAACTGGCATGACAACTTGCACTACATAACGGCATCCTGGAGGGCCGCGGCCGCAACGTCGGCAACAGCAACACCAAGGGCTCCAAGCTTGGCGAAGAAGTCCGCCCAAGCATACCCATGAACCTCCAAATTTCGCCAGCGCGCGCTCCTTGCTCAATTAAGCTCTCCAAACAGGTGCGCAGGAGGCCAGTAGAACTCGGGGCGCATAGCACGGCGAGCACAAGCACGAAATACGCTACGCCAAATCGACGCGTGCGGGGCAAGGCCAACCTCAAGGTTGGGATCCCAACCTTGCCCCCCGTGAACAAACGAAAAATGATAATTAACTATGACGGGAGGCTGGTCTCCAGCAGGCCCCAGGGAAACTGCATCGAGCCCAGCCCACCTTTCGGGCCGAGGGACCTACTGGAAGCGCCCTGGGAGCCCGCCGAACCTGGCTCTCAAGGGCCAGCCGTCCTCGGAGATCTCGACAACGCTCCAGCCACATAAAGCGGCTTCAGGCACCGCACTGTGCAGCCCCGACCCGTCAGTGAACCTATATCTACCCCAGGGACCGTCCGCGAGACCCCAGGTGAGCACCGCCGGCCGAGCTAAGGGAGCGGGCAACTGGACGGGGAGCGAGGGAAGCCCATAGAGGAGAGGAACGCGATCCCAATCAGGAGGACCGATGTTGACATCGTACCCTTTCTCCCGCAAGGCCTGCCTACGCGCCCAAACATGCTCGGGAAAACCCACGCAGCCCGCCTCCTCCTCCCCAGACACGAAGGCGCACGAGCAATCATCGAGTTGGTGGCCCAATGTGCAGCGGGGGGCCCGGCAGAAAGTGCAAGCAGCAGACGGAGCCAGCCCAGCAGCATGCTTACGAGCTGGTGGCCACAAACCTCCAGACCAGAGCGCGCGGAACGACCCCTGATGGACACCCGCGGGGAGGGCCAGAATCGCGAGGCGCATCGCTCGAGCCCAACAGTACTCTGAGCCCGTCGCTTCTGGCCAGTGGAAGGGGGCCCTATGCCAGAGCCAACGCCCCACACCATCGCGCAACAAATTGCGGACCTCGCACGGCGAATACACATACAGCGAGATATGGTCTCCGAGGTCGGAGGTGAGAAAGCGGGAAGTGGCCGCGCCCACCCGACCCTGCGAAGGGAGAGAAGAAGGGCAGAAATCGGCCCAAAGCATTGCCTCCAGGCCCCCTGGGCTACGAGCTCATCCTGGATTGTGCTCCAAGCCTTCATCAACATACTAGGGAAGTCCTCCCATCCCAGAGCCAACGCGCATACCTGGCGACAAGGGGGCATGTGGCATGGAAAATGGGATCATACAGCCCATCCTTCTGCGTGCACGCATAAACTTCGATGGGGGGCCAGGCCGCGCCCAGCGCCCACCAGCTCCCCTGCAAAAGAACAAAGTTTCACGAGAGTGGCGTCAGCGAGGTCTACCACACCAGCCCCATGGCTACCCGACGGCAGGACCCCCGCGCGCCACAGAACCCAGACCTTCAGACCCCCGGCCCTTTTAAGGGCGCGAAACCGGCCGAGCCTCCCAAGCACCGCCCCCAACCTCTTCCTCTCCAGGGCTCTGTGGGCGGCGCCTCCTGCAAAGGTGTCGTGGCCAGGGTTCCGCGCCGTCCGAAACGCCCGAAGCTTCAGTCTGGCCGCTCTCGACTTCACAACACGAGCCGCTTCCGTCGAGGACGCAAGATAACCGGACTTGGAGGCCTGCAACAGGAACCTTAGGGTCTAGCCGGCGAAAGCCGCGACAGCATTAAATACAGCCCCGGCATACTTAGCCTGGCTTCCTATCCACTGAAACGACACATCATCCATGAGGCCTCGGGGCACCACGCATCGAACTCCATCTTGGGCCTCTGGAGAGGCTGAAGGAGGAGGACCCGCACGAGGGTGGCGGCGCGGGAGCGGCCCGCCAAATTTCCCTGGAAAGACGCGTGGGAAACGCTCAAGGAATTGAAACTTTTGATGCGCCGAGGCCGCTGATATCTACAGACCAGTATCCAGGCTAAACTTACAGGAAATCCTAAGGCTGCAGCCTCGGCCATCATAGCACTAAGCAAAACAAGCCCATAACAATTAATCATGTCGATCAGAGCTGTCACACAATGCTGGCCCAGTGTTCCGAGCGACCTCAGCCTCCAAGCTGCGAGCAACAGCACAATCGAGACTGGAACGCCCTGGACCGGAGCCCCACGGGAGCTCATCGATGCCCCCCCTCCCACTGCACCGAAACAGGCCTCCGAACCCCCCACACACCCTCATGAGAGTACGCATGAGGGCAATGAGCCTGCGTTCGCTAGGCAAGTCCGGCTTCGGCAGCCTCAGCATCTCCGCGGCCACCTGCCCCCGCGGCCAGCAGCAGAGCTTTTCGCACGAAGTGAGGGGGAGCGCCACCGCCCGCAGTGCCTGGTCGCTCAAGTGCCACAGACTGCACGGGGACATGCGCCCAGGACCAACGGCCGCCCCGGCAGCAAACTTGCGCACGGCAGCGCGGACCTCAAAACGCGAGATCGTCGGCAGAAGCTCCCGCGACTCCGCTTTGGGCGGTAGCTCCATCTTCACGCAGCCGCGGGTCGTCCAGACCGTGGCCCAGTTATCCAGGCAGTCGTCGACTAGCTCATGCGGCTGGCCTCGTGTCTGGGCCGCGTCTGCAGGCTGCAGGGCACGAGCTTTGCTGAACCGGCGAGCTTGCGACGCGCCTCTGACCAAGCTGGCCTCGACCCACGCCGCCCAAGACTTGGCTCGCTCAGCCGCGAAAGCTGCATGCCTGGATTCACCTTGATGGACGAGCCAGTCAACCACGTCATCACAGTTGGCGTCGGCAACCAGCATCAACCTCTGCTCAAAGAACTCCGCAACGCACGGGTCCACAGCCGAGAACACCCACTGCCGCTTAAGGAGGCGCCCGAAGAAAGCCTCCGCGTCGCGAAGGGGGACGCCGAGCTTGGAGGTCTCCGCCGCCGACGGCCCTCCAGCAGCCCTCGCAACCATGAGCTGCGGAATGCGATGGCTGAGGCTCTCGCTGACTCGCCGCAAGTGTCGCGCCCAGCCAGCCGCCGCAGCCCGCGCGTCAGTCGCCGCGCCGGGGACGATGCCGCGGCGGCTGCCAGGCATACTTCTGCCAGCGCATGCGGAGCGGACCTGCCCTGCCCGTCTGAGCCTGGCAGCCTGCGCCAACTAGGTCGTAGCAGCCACACAGCTCCTGCTCAGTGCCTTGCAGCGCGTCGCCCCAGCACTGGCTGAGCTCCGCCTCGCTAGCCGCCGCTCCCATTCGCTCCTGGACCGCGTGCCAGAGCGACGCCTGTGGCCTGGAGCAGCTGGGTGGCACAATCGCTGCAAAGGCCAGAGCGCCCTCTCTCTAGTCAGGAGCGGTAGCTGCACAGGTTTGTGGTGGAAGGTGCCCGCTGCCTCGTAGACCTCTGGCACTTGAATCTGACTCAGAAGGCGGCCGTTCACCCCGAAGAAGTCCAGCGGGCATCTTCTGACGGCATGTAGCCGCCGACGTCGACAGCAGCACCGCCCCCACAGAGTTGAAACACGGGGCCAGCAGCTCTGGGGCCATATTGAAATCGCCTCCGAGGATCCAGGCGAATCCACGGCTGGCGATGTCCAGCACGCAGTGGCCCACCGGCCTCAAGATCTCCAGGTTGGAGACATCCAGGCCAGCACTGTCGTGCAGGCAGACAGAGACCATCACGATCCCACCTGCCACGCCCCAGTGCACGTGCCCTGCCGTGGCCCTGCCTGGGATCAGGCAGCCAGTCGGGTGCAGAGGCGGCGTCGTAACCTGGATGCCCGCCTTGGCCAGCACCGCGCAGCCTCCATGGGTGCCGCCCACATCAGACTGAGGAGCAGTATCCCACACCCCGTGGTAGCCCAGGTTGCGGACCCGCTGCTGCAGCGCCCTCCACCTTGCCGAGGCCAGCATGGTGCTGCTGGACCATTACCACGCTGCTGCTGAACGGGGACCCCAGCAGCGCCTCCAGCGCTCCGTAGGACAAAACATTGGCGGAGGAGACGAGGCCCTTGACCACCGGTGCCGCTGCCTCCGCGGGAGGCCCAGGAGCCAAACCATCAGGAGGCGCCGAAGTAACACTGCCGTCCGCGAGGTCGACGGCAGAGACCACGTCCACAGCAGACATCATCATGATGACGAGGCCGAGGGCAGATCTACGCAGTGGCCTCCACACCTGGCCCGTCGAGGCGCTGGCGCTTGGCAAGGCTCTCGAGCCCTCGGAGAAGCGCTTGGCCGCCTCGCGGAGTTCGGCCTCGTCGGGCGGCACCTCCTGCCCCATGGCCTTGAGAAAGGCCTGAAGGACCGCAGGAGTGTCAGCCCCAACGCCAGAGGTCACAGGGATGCGAAGGGAAGCAGCAGCAGCAGGTGGCTGGACGGCCGCGGGCATCTCCAGCGGCGGAGGGGTGCTTGGCGCCGCCGCTGGCGCAGGCGTGCCTGGCGCCACAGCTGCATGCGCACGCTGCCGCCCCAGCTCCGCCTGCCGCTCAGCCTGCGCTCGCACTGCGGCCTCGCGCACGCGCCCTGCCACGCTGTGCAGCTCCTTAGCCAGCTGCTCGTCGGCCCCGAAGGTCCCAAGCACCTCGACCATCTGTGCCGCAGAAAGCTGGACACTCGGCAGCACGGAGTCGAGCGAGGCCTTGACGCCGGCGACGACAGTCGCAGGTTGCGGGAACTGCACCGCCACCGCCGCGCGCTGGGCCTCCAGTGCCGCGATCTCCTTCTGGATGGAGGCGACCTCCGACGCCACTTCGTCCAACTCCGCCTGGGCGTCGCGCACCTGGTCCTGGAGCTTGGCCATGGCCTCGCGCTTGGCATCGACCTTGCGCTGAAGCCCCTTGATCTGCTGGGTGAGCTTCTGGATCTGGACAGGAAGCGGCTTCTGGCCCATCTGCTTGGACCGCAGCTGCACGAGCTCAGCCGCCCAGTCCTGGCGCATCTTCGCCACCTGGCCCGAGGAGTCGCTGGCGCCCTCCAACTGGCTGAGCAAGCCGCGCAGCTCCTTGACCCGCGACGACTCGACCTCGGCCTCCAGCTGCTCGACGGCAGTACCAGAATCAACCTCCATGCCGAACGGGTCGGGTTTGGCAGCCGCTGCCCTCGCCTCCTTTGCCTCCGACCTGGCCTTGTCCTGCTCGGCGTGCGCCTGCTTGAGCTCCTGCTGGAGCTTGCGCACCTCGGCAGAAGCTGCCGGGTCCTTGGCGGAGACAGATGGCGCCTTGGGCGTCCGCTGAGAGGAGGAGGAGGAGAAGGAGGAGGAGGAGAGGGAGGACGAGGAGGAGGAGGAGGAGGAGGAGGATCGAGGAAGATCTAGGGAAAGGCGGAGGAGAAGGAAGAGGAGGAGGAGGAGGAAGAGGAAGGAGAGGAGGAGGAGTAGGATCGAGAAGGATCAAGTAGGATCGAGGAGAGTCGAGGAGAATCGAGGAGGAGGTCGGTCAAGAGGCGGGTCAGGGAGCGCTCCTCGGAGGTCCTCTCGTTCCCGGCGAGGGCGTCTGGCCCGGTGCACTGCGGGCGCCGTGTGGGGGGGGGGAGGGGGCGGCCGGCGGACGGCGCGGCGCTCGGGCGGCCACGGGCTCAGCTTCTCCTCCTCCTCCTCCTCCTCCTCCTCCTCCTCCTCCTCCTCCTCCTCGTCCTCCTCCTCAATTCCTTCTTCCCTCCTGCTTCTCCTCCTCCTGCTTCTCCTCCTCCTCCTTCTCCTCCTCACCACAACCACCACCACCACCACCACAACCACCATCATCATCATCATCATCATCATCATCATCATCATCATCATCATCATCATCATCATCATCATCATCATCATCATCATCATCATGATCATGATCATCATCATCATCATCATCATCATCATCATCATCATCATCATCATCATCATCATCGTCATCATCATCATCATCATCATCATCATCATCATCATCATCATCATCATCATCATCATCATCATCATCATCATCATCATCATCATCATCATCATCATCATCATCATCATCATCATCATCATATGTTTCCTCCTCCTCCTCTATTTCTTCCTCCTCCTCCTCCTCCTCCTTCTCCTCCTCCTCCTCCTCCGCCGACCAGCGGCCGCAAGTCCAGCTGGCCAGGCATACGGTGAAGCGTCCGACGCACAATCTGGCGGACCCAGGCAAATCAGCCAGGTGATCGCCAGGGTGCGCAGTGTGGCTCTGCCTCCCAAAATGACCGTATAAGAGCCCCAGACGAAACGGCGGAGGAACCCTCAACGGGCCCTCCGCCACTCCTGCCCTCCTCCTTAACGGGCCGGCGTGCGTGCCTCTCAGGGCAGCATGTCCTCCTCCGGCACCTCCACGGCCTCCCCCACCTCCAGCACCTCCACGGCCTCCCCCACCTCCGCCAGCTCTCCTCCTCCCCCATCACCTCCTCCTCAGTCTCCCCTCCTTCGTGTTCTTCTTCGTCTTCTCATCACTATTGTTGAATAAACTTGTGATTATGGTTATCATAATTTCCAAGAGTATGTCCATTCTTCTTATTGGTAGTGATATGCCTCTTCTTAGTATTCCGATAACTCGTACTAACATGAGCATCATTAAATTTAAAATCGTGCTATGAGTATCCATCTTAATTGAATTAGTACTATGAAACTCCTTATTACTATCAGCGTTACCATTTGTAGTATCATTATTACTAATCGTATGATTGTACGTGTTTCGTCTCAGTTTTATTCGTAGTACTACTGGTATCATTATTATGATTATCAATGTTGGTATTGGTATTATACATATGATGAATGTGTCCCGTAGTCATGATAGCATTAGTAGTAGTTGATGTAGTAGTGGTAGTAGTAGTGGTAGTAGTAGTAGTAGTAGTAGGAGTAGTAGTAGTAGCAGTAGTAGTAGCAGTAGTAAGAGATAGCAGTACTAGTAGTAGTAGCAATAGTAGAAGTAGTAGTAGTAGTAGTAGTAGAAGTAGTAGTAGTAGTAGAAGAAGTAGTAGTAGTAGTAGCAGTAGTAGTAGTAGTAGTAAAAGTAGTAGTAGTAGTCGTAGTAGTAGTAGTAGCAGTAGTAGTAGCAGTAGTAGTAGTAGAAGTAGTAGTAGTAGTAGTAGTAGTAGTAGTAGTAGTACAATAGTCTTTCGAGTACTACTAATATCCTAATATGTTGTATCAATATGGGTATGTTGATTATGTTCCTTGTTATCATTACTTTGAGCATTGTTACGGTTGTTATGTTTGCTAGTATTCCTCCTTCTTCCTCCTCCTCCTCTTCCTCCTCCTCCTCTCCTCCTCCTCCTCCTCCTCTTCCTCCTCCTCCTCCTCCTCCTCTTTCTCCTCCTCCTCCTCCTCCTCCTCCTCGCCTCCTCCTCCCCCATCCCCCTCCTCTTACTCCTCGTCCTCCTCCTGCTCCTCCTTCTCCTTCTCCTCCTCCTTATCTTCCATTCTTTCTCCTTATAAAGAACCTCTCCGTCGCACCCCGAGGCCAATCGGAAGGGCGGACCGGACGTTTCGCCTGAGACGTCCTCACCACTTATGACCCTGAAGCTTTGAAACATGACAACAGATTCACAAATGGAGGGCGGGTCGTTTTCAGAATGTGGCTCTCGCTTTGACGCCGCGCACATTCGTTTCAAAGATATAATAGTTTCACAGATCGAGGGCGGATCGTTTTCAAAATGTGGTTCTCGCCTGAGAACCGCGCACAGCTTCACAGAAGGAGGGCGGGTGGTTTTCAAAATGTGACTCTGGCCTTAGCGCCGCGCACACTCGTTTTCAACAAATTGTAAGACCTTCACGGATTGAGGGCGAGTCGTGTTCAAAATGTGGCTCTCGCCTTAGCGCCGCGCACATTGGTTTCTTATTTGCAAGAGTTTCGCGGATTCCCATGGTCAGCGTACCAGAAATGGTGTATTGAAAGGACTCAGGATTATGAGGGTGCATCAGTAACTTCGACTCGCAGTGTTGCAGTCGCAGTCCCCGGAATGGCGTTCTGGCACGATTCAGCATCGTCAAGACGCAACAGGCAAGTTGATCCGTGGCGTTGGAATCCCGAGAACACATGTTTTGGTTTGCTTCATGGTCTTCAAACGGTTGTCTTCCAACGAGGCAATTCCCTCAGTGAAACAGAACCGTTGTAGGGGGCTGAGAAGAGGATTGCTCCAACATCTTTGACGGGTCTTGGTGGGCTTACACTGGTCCTCCTCCTCCTCCTCCACCTCCTCCTCCTCCACCTCCTCCTCCTCCTTCTATAATTTTCCTTATGAAGAACTCCTCCCTGTCGCACCCCGAAGCCAGTCGGAAGGGAGGGACTGGTGTATCGTCTGAGACTCCTTACCATTGTTGAGCTGAAGCTCATAAACTGGCAACAGCTTCACTGATGAAAGGCGGGTGGATTTCAAAATTTGGCTCTCGCCCTGGCGCCGCGCACATTCGTGCAAAAATGTACGAACTTCACGGATTGAGGGCGGGATGTTTTCGAAATGTGGCTCTCGCCTTAGCGCCGCGCACATTCGTTTAACACATACATGAGTTTCACTGGTTGAGAGCGGGCCGTCTTCAAAATTTGGCTCTCGCCTTAGCGCCGCGCACAGTTTTTAAATCACGTTGCAAGAGCTTCACGGATTGAGGGCGGGGGTATTCGAAATGTGGCTCTCGCCTTAGCGCCGCGCACATTCGTTAAAACATGTTGCAAGAGCTTCTCGGATTGAGGGCGGATGGGATTCGAAATGTCGCTCTCGCCGTAGTGCCTCGCGCATTCGTTTAAACATTTACATGAGGAGTTTCACTGATTCGAAAGGTTAACGTACCAGACATGGTGTTTGGAACGATTCAGGATTGTCAGGGCGCAACAATTACGTGGATTCGCGGTGTTGAAGTCCCAGAACTTGCGTTCTGCCACGATTCCCGATCGCCAAGGCGCAACAGTCAGGTTGACCCATGGCGGTGAAGTCCAAGGAGTGGTGCTCTGGCACGCTTCAAGATGCTCAAACGGTTGTCTTCCAGCAGTGTACTTTTCTCAATGGAAATGAACCCATGTACGGACCTGAGAGGAGGGAGCTTGGAGGGAGGGTGTATTCCAACGTCTTTGATGAGCTTTGGGCTTACACTCGTCCTCCTCCACCTCCTCCTCCTCCACCTTCTTCGCTTGATCAGGCCATGCGCGCGTGTTTGCCACTCGTGACGAAGAAGCAGAATTTGATTAGGCACCCCATCGAGGGATGCGCGAGTCTACCTCGACGCAAACCCGATCCACAGGAGGAAAGGCAGCAGTAACATGAGCAGGCAGAAACAAATTGCAGCAGGAGCAAGCGTCCCATTCCTGCCCGTCATCCACGAAGGCTGCGTCACACGTGCAGCCGGCTGGAGACATGTTACCTGTTACCTGCCGGTGCGTAAAGCATCACCTGACGGGCAGAGGCCCCAGGACGAGATCGGCTCACCGCCGAGCGCCCTGATCGAAGACAAGACCACAAGGCCCAGGGCCTCAAGGGGACAGCATGTGCTCCCTCTCAGCGGAGCACGGGGGACAAGAAAAACGTCGCAGGGTGCCCCAGATGACGGAGACGTGGCCAGCCACGGCCGCGGCAACGAACGCCGCAAGAGCTTCAGAGGACGCAGACCTGCCTGGCCCCAGTGTCCCCGTGAGCTCTCCTCTGCGCTTCCCGCCCCGAAAGGGGCACTCCTCCTCCTCCTCCTCCTCCTCCTCCTCCTCCTCCTCCTCCTCCTCCTCCTCCTCCTCCTCGCCCCCCTCTTCTCGCACCCGCATCTCAAGGCACCACCTTTATCCCCAGCGGCCGCGCGCGGCACCCGCGCCCTGGCTCCTTCGTGCCCGAGACGAGGTGGTGGTACACTGCACCGAAGGCCTCGCGCGGGGTGGACCATCAAAGCACACCGTTTGACGAATGCCCGTGCGGCCACCCCGCAAGCCTCGAGGGGTCGCTCCGCCCGGGGGGGGAGGAGGAGGAGGAGGAGGAGGAGGAGGAGGAGGAGGAGGAGGAGGAGGAGGAGGAGGAGGAGGAGAAGGAGGAGGAGGAGGAGGACGACGACGACGAAGAAACGAAGAGGAGAAAGGGGGGGGTGGGCGAGGAGGGCGAGGAGGGCGAGGGGGAGAGAAGGTGGGGAGCGACCCTGACCTGGAGGGCCCAGCCGCGGGAGGACGTGGGCTCCTTATGATTATGCTCACCAATGTAGAGATGAATGTGTATGTAAACATACATACATGCAGATATGCGTACATACATGCATACATACATACATACGTACGTACGTACGTATGTACATACATACATACATACATACATACATACATACATACATACATACATGCATGCATACATGCATGCATGCATGCATGCATGCATACATACATACATATATTCATACATACATACACACATACATACATACATACATACAGACATGCATACATACATATATTCATGCATGCATACATACATACATACGTACACATATACATACATGCATGCATACATGCATGCATGAATGTATGCATGCATACATACATGGATACAAACATACCTTACATTATATGCATACATACATGCATGCATACATGCATACATACATACATATATACATACATACATACATACAGGCGTACACACATACATGCATACACACACATATATATATATATATATACACATGCATACAAACAAGCATACATACATACATGCATGCATACATACATATACATGTGTGTATATAGACATGTGTATGTACATGCATGCATGCACGCATGCGTGCATTCATACATACATACATGCATACACACATACATACATACATACATATACACACACACATACATACATACATACATACATACATACATACATACATACATACATACATATACATACATACATGCATGCATGCATACATACATACAGACATGCATGCATACATACATAAATATATACACGCACATACATACAAACATGCATACGCATACGCATACACATACACATAATTACATACATGCATGCATACATGCATACATGCATACATGCACACATGCACACATGCATAAGTGCATATATTCATACATGCACACATGCACACCCATACATACATATATACATATATATATACATACATACATACATACATACATGCATACATACATACATACATACAGACATACATACATACATGCATGCATGCATGCATGCATGCATGCATGCATATATATATATACATACACAGACATACACACACGTACGTATTGGAGGCCTGGAAATGGGCACCAACACCAAAACAGGGGGTTGCCTCCAGGGGGGAAGATGATCCTGGATTTCGGTGTTGGTGGCAATATTTCGGCAACCTTGGAAGCCAGAATATTACCACCATCACCGAGATTGGGATCTTCATCCCTCGGTGGAGGCACACCGCCGATCTTGGTGTTGGTGTCAACCTCTGGGCCTGCGAACGTACGTACGTACGTACGTATATACAGACATACATACATACATACACACATACACACACAGACACACACACACACACATACAAACATACGAGAGAGCGTGATCCACCGCCGCTTTACTGCAGAAAATTCACCCCCTCTTCCTCCGGAACCCTGGGGTCCCCCCCCCTCCGAAATCCCCCCACCTGCTGGACCCTCCCTCCCCCCCTCCCCTCCCCCGGCAAAACCCCCCCCCCCCTAAACCCCCCCCCCCCCCTCCCCCCTCTAAAACCAAAGGGGGTCACTACCGGTTCGAACCCCCCCCCCCTCGAAAACCGGAGGGGGGGTCACTACCGGTTCGAACCCCTCCCCCCCCCCCTCACCGCCAGCAAACGACTCCCGGTCCCTACCACCGTCCGCACCACATCCCCCACTGTTGTTCCCAGCACCACTGTCCTCACCACCACTGTCCCCACTGGTTCCACCACCGTCCCTAGTGTCCCCACCAGTGCCCCCAACTCTGTCGCACTGTCCCCACTGTCCCCACCACTGTTCCCACCACGGTTCCACTCTCCCCACTTTCTCCACGGCCCCAACCACTGCCCGACTATCCCCATTGTCTTCAGTCCCACTGACTCCTCCGCTGTCCCACTGAGCTGTCCCACTGTTCCCACCACTGTCCCCATTGTCCCCGCCACTGTCCCCACTGTACCTCTGTCCCATTGTTCCACCGCCGTCCTCGCCACCGCCTTCACCACTGTCCCCACCACCACTGTACCCTCCACTGTCCCACTGTTTCCACCACATTCCCACTGTCCCCACACCACTGTCCCCGCCACCACCGTCCCCACCACTGTCCCGCTGTCCCCACTGTTCCCACCATTGTCCTCACCACTGTCCCCACCACTACCGTCCCCACCACTGTCCCACTGTCCCCACAGCTGTCCCGCTGTCCCCTTACCACTGTCCCCACCACCACCGTCCCCACCACTGTCCGCCCCCCCCCCCCGGGTTTCGAAGGGGGGGGGGCAAACCGGTAGTGACCCCCCCCCCGGTTTTCGTGGGGGGGGGGGATTCGAACCGGTAGTGACCCCCCCCCTTTCATGATGGACTGGGGGGGGGGGGGACGGGTTCGAACCGGTAGTGACCCCCCCCCCCAGTTTTCCAGAGGGGGGGGGGAAGGGTTCGAACCGGTAGTGACCCCCCCGGTTTTCCGCCAGCAGTGGTAGAACACGCTCTCTCAAACATACACACATACACACATATACACACATGCACATACGCACATACACACATACATGCCTACAGACATACATACATCCAGACAGACAGACAGACATGTGTATATATATATATAATATATATATATATATATATATATATGGTCGCCCCCCCCCCCCCCAAGATCATACCTTTTCGTCTCCTCATCCTCGACTGCTTCTTTTCCTTTCTCTCTCTCTCTCTGTCTCTCTCTCTGTCTCTCTCTCTCTCTCTGCCTCTCTCTCTCTCTGTCTCTCTCTGCCTCTCTCTCTCTCTCTCTCTTTTTCTCTCTCTCTCTCTCTCTCTATATTTTGGTTTCTCTCTCTATATATATACATGTATAGATGTGTGTATACATATGTGTATAGACTCTGAGAGGCCACACTAGGCATGCGTAGGGCGGGCGTGTGGGGGCGCTGCGTGTGCGTAAGAAGTGAACGCTGGCATCCAGTATACAAATAATAATGCCTCTAAGTATGCCTAAACGAGTTTAAAGCGGTCGGTTAGGTATTGCCGTTTGGGCTATGGTCGTTTCGAGTATGCCTAAACGAAATTGGAGCGGTGGTGCCTGAAAAGGATCAAGGGAAACCCAATGGAGGAACACAAAGATACCGATACTGCTACTCCCCAGACCTCTCCCAGGGTGCGTTCTGACCTGAATCTCGAAGGGAATCCAACCGTGGCGGCGAGACCTCGCCAGGGCGAGCAGCGGTATCGGTATCTGTTCTTCCTCCGACCTTCGAGTACAATGTGGGACCTGCCCTAGAACAACAACATACGCAAACGGATCTACCTTTTATCCGATCTTGTATTGCGCCGAAAGCAACGGCCGCGTTGTGTACAGACGCATCCACCCCAAATGTACCCGTACGTGCATCAAAATATAGCAAAATAATATATGTATCTATATATATATAGAGAGAGAGATATACATGTCAGAGAGAGCGTTTCACAGACGCTCTCCTGGGAAACATCTTGCGACACGTCGGAACCTGAGGTCTTCCACCCCCCACATTCGGCGCGCCCGGGAAAAACTAGCGGAATTCCCACCAGACCCCTCCCACAAACCCCCCCGCTCGCCCCTTACGCGCAACTGACAAAGAACGCCTACGACGACGACGTCGCCTGCGACGACGCCGACGACGGCCACAGCGTCAGCGGTGACGGCGGCACACCTGGCGCCAGCGCCTGCGCCCAGCGCCGGCGAGCGGGGGGAGGGATCGACCTCCCCCCGTCTCGCCGCTGGCAAACCATCATCATCATCATCATCATCATCATCATCATCATCATCATCATCATCATCATCATCATCATCATCATCATCATCCTCATCCTCATCCTCATCCTCATCATCATCATCATCATCCTCATCCTCATCCTCATCATCATCATCATCATTATCATCGTCATCGTCATCTTCATCGTCATCGTCGCCGTCGTCATCATCATCACCATCAGCATCATCCGCAGCATCTTCATCATGATTATCATCATCATCATCATCATCATCATCACCCTCCTCATCCTCATCCTCATCATCATCCTCATATTCATCATCCCCATATTAATCATCCTCATATTCATTATCATCCTCATCATCATCATCATCATCATCAGCATCATCATCATCATCATCATCATCATCATCATCATCATCATCATAATCGTCATCATCATCATCATCATCATCGTCCCCACGATCATAACCAGCAGCAACATCATCGTCATCATCATCAACAACATTACCCTCACCATCATCACCATCATCAGTATCACCATCATCATCAGAATCATCATCATCATCACAATCATCACAATCATCATCAGCATCAGCATCGTCATCAGCATAATCATCATCCTCATCAGCATCATCACCATCGTCATCATCATCGATACTTCCTACTAGTGTTCGTGACAACTCTGGTAGAATCCGACTAGGGTTGGATCGAGCTCTGATAAAATCCTAGTAGGGACCGACGCAGCTCTAATAACATCCTGGTAGGGTTCGATCCAACTCTAATAGAATTCTACTACTGTTCGATCCAGGTCCAATACACAAGGGCTCGATCCAGCTCTGTTGGAATACAAAAAGGGATCGACACAGTAGATAGAACCCGCTTAACGCTCGATCTATCTCCGATTGAATCCTGAGAGGGCCCGAGTCCGCTCGAACAGAATCCTACTAGGGCTGGACCAGGCTGAAATAGAAACCTTCAAGGGCTCAATAAAGCTATAATCGAATCATACCAGGGCTCGGTCCACCTGATATTATATCCTACGGGGGCTAGATTCACCTCGAATAGATTCCTACTAGGGCTGCATCTGGCTGTAATAGAATCCTACTATCTTACTAGGGCTCAAACCACATGTAAGAGAATCACACTAAGGCTCGATCCAGTCTCGTCGTCGCCGTTTATCACTGGCGATTGGGGGGGGGTTCAAACCCCGCCCCTTCTTTTTGAGGGAGGGGCGGTTCGACACACACACACACACACATGCAATTCAGGGGGGACGTTCGGCCCCCCCACACACACCTTGAAAGCGTTCACAGAACGCGATCTTCCATATTTAACGACATCCAATGTGTCTACTGGCATAGGCCCCAGATACTGGTCTCGTTTTTCTAGAAGCCCTCCGACTCTTGCCTCAGGCTCCGACCCCGAGGGCTCGGCCAGGGCGCGCACCGCTTGGACTCCCCGAGGCCGCGGCCCGCGCGCGCCCTGGGGTCGGCTCCGATCCAGAGGCCGCGGCCTCGGAGGCCAGGACGAAGAAGCCGCGGCCCGGAGGCCTCGCCCCGGGAGCGGAGGTCGCCTCGGCAGGAGGCGTCGAGCCCCGCAGCGCCGCGCCGCTGGGGCCCCCCCCCTCCCCCGCAAGGGGGGGGTCCGCACGGGCGGAGCTGCGAAGTCAAAAACCAGCCGGGGCAACGCTGGCATCCAGGAGTCTTGGAGCGTTGCTCGTGTTCTCCCCGTGGCCGGCCCCGAACGGCGCCACACGGCTCCAGGTCGTGGCGAGATCGCCCCGAGACGGCCCAAGCGGCCTCGACGAAGGCACCGAGACGGCCCGAGGGAACCCGAAGACAGCCCCAAAGAGGCCCCAGACGGCCCAACAGAGCCTCAAGTGGTCCCCCAAGACAGCCCCCAGAGGGCCCCAGGACCTCCCCAAGAGGGCCCAGAGCGGGCTCCAAGACGGCCCCAGACCCCGACCTGGGGCTCCTGGCCCCAGGGCAGCGTGAAACATCAAAATCGAAGGCGTTTGGTTTGGGGGTAGCTTTCGGCCCTCCTGGGGTCCTTCCAGCGAAGGCGTTTGGTTTGGGGGTAGCTTTCGGCCCTCCTGGGGTCCTTCCAGGACCGCCAGCACACGCCTCGGGATGAAAGCCCCGTCCCCGTGAAGGGGTCCAGACCTCTTCGGCGTAACGACGCAAAACCACGACGCCGGACGTCTGGGGGGGGGTCGGAGCACCGGGGCTCGCTCACGCGCGCGGGCCACCGAGCCGGCCCGTGGCCTGCGGCCCCTCAGAGAGGCTGCGTCGCCCAGAAGAGGGGGCAGCGCCCCTGCAGGTGGCGGCGCGCCCTCGAGGGCTGGAGCTCGCGCGCGCGGCGCCGCTCTCCCGGGCCCCCCGTGCGGCCAGGAGGGTGCCGCCTGCCGTCGAGGTCTCCAGCTCCCGGCGGGCGCTGACCCCTCGAGGCGGGGTGCCCCTCGGGGCGCCTCGTGCTCGCCACCGCCACGTCGCCGCGCCCCAGGCATGGCACGTCGTGGTTCTACCGCAGCGTGGCTCCCGAGAGGTCTAGAGATCCCTTCCCCTGGGGCCGAGCTCTCAAGCAGGGCCGTTCGTCGACAGCCCCTGGTGTCTGGCGAGAGCCCCCTGAAGGCCGGGCACGGCCAGAAACTGATGGACCTGGTTTCCACCACCACCACCATAAGCCAGTAGTGGGAGGAGGGAAGGAGGAGGAGGAGGAGGAGGAGGAGGAGGAGGAGGACCCCTCCCCCTCCGACTCATGGTGGTGGTGGTGGTGGTGGTGGTGGTGGTGGTGGTGGTGGTGGTGGTGGTGGTGGTGGTGGTGGTGGTGGTGGTGGTGGTGGTGGAAAACAGGCCCACCAGAAACCTCCCGTCGGGAGTCCCTTCCACACACACACACACACACACACACACAGCCAGCCACTTCTCTCCAGCTTCGGGGCGGCCGGGAGGAAGACGAGGGAACGAAGGAGAAGGGGGAGAAGACGAGACCGAGGGGGAAGGCCTTCCGCCGTGATTTGTCGCTCCAGGCTTATGGTATTCGGCGATTACCAAATGAGCCAAACCAGGGAATCAGTAAATTATCCCAGTGCGACCCTACCTAGGAGTTGGAGCATGTAGGAAAGCAACATCTACATCTACATCGACAGCTACATTAACATCTACACCTGCATCTACATCTACATCAACATCAACAGCGAGACTCACATCTACATCTACATCTACAACTACACCTACACCTACATTTACATATACATCTACACATACATCCACATCTACACCTACACCTACATATACATCTACATCTACACTTTCGCATTGGTTCAACACTGCTCGCGGCTCCTGCAAGAGCTGCAGGCTGTTCAGCACTGCTCGCGGCTCCTGCGAGAGCTGCAGGCTGTTCAGCACTGCTTGCAAGAGCTGCAGGCTGTTCAGCACTGCTCGCGGCTCCTGCAAGAGCTGCAGGTTGTTCAGCACTGCAGGTCCGGCTTTGCGTTGCTTATGTTTCGCTTTGCTGTTGCTGTTGTCGCTTTGCCTTTGCTCTGCTGCTATGCTATGCTATGCTATGCTATGGTATGCTATGCTATGCTATGCTATGCTATGCTATGCTATGCTATGCTATGCTGCGCTATGCTATGCTATGATATGCTATGATATGCGTTCCTATGCTGCGCTATGCTGCGCTATGCTGCGCTATGCTATGCTATGCTATGCTAGGGTACGCTCGGCTGCGCTGTGTTATGCTGCGCTATGCCATGTTATGCGATGCTGCGTTATGCTATGCTATGCTATGCTATGCTATGTTATGCTATGCTATGCTATGATATGCTATGCTATGCTATGCTATGCTGCGCTATGCTATGCGATGCTGCACTATGCTATGCTATGCTATGATGTGCTGCGCTGCGCTGCGCTATGCTAAGCTACGCTACGCTGCGCTATGTTATGCTAGGCTATGGTATGCTATGCTATGCTGCGCTATGCTATGCTATGCTGTGCTATGTTGCGCTATGCTATGCTATGATATGCTATGCTATGATATGATATGCTGCGCTATGCTATGCTATGATATGCTGGGCTATGCTATGATACGTTAAGCTAAGCTAAACTAAACTAAGCTACAGCTACGCGAAGCTAAGATGAAGCTAAGCAAAGCTAAGCTAAGCTAAGATGAGATACGTAACGCTAAGCTAGGGGGGCGCAACTGGGGGAACCGCGGGGCGGATACTGGGGGAACCGCCCGGGCCGCTTTCCACTGCCAGGCCCCTGTAAGCCCAGAGAGTAAGAACCCTTCTAGGCAGAGCCTAGGTAGGGAAGTAGCTTGAAAATAAGCCTGAAGAAGCCTGCCGAGGACCCTCGCGTCTGGAGTCCAAGCGCGAGGACGTCAGGGCCATATCTCGAAGGCAGAGTCGCGCGGCGGCCACGGGCGCCGCGAGGGGAGCCAGACTCCGCGGGCGCCGCGCGAGGAGCGCGAGAAGCGCGGCACCTCGGAGGCGGCCGAGAGGCCGCGGCTGGCCTCCGATGACGCCTCTGCTCGCCATCGCTCGGACGTCCGCTCCCCGTGCATGTTTCGATGTCGCGCGCGTTTCCTTCTTGCTCGATGATCCAGAAAGCTCCTCGATGGTCCTCGCCGAGAAAAGATGCACACACCCGAGCGATGCCAAGCTCTGGCGCGGCAGGGCGGCGATCGCAGGACGGTGGCTGGGCTGCCGCCCGCCTTTTTGCTGCCCCCCCGTGGCGGCCAGCTCCGCGCTGCCCCTGGAGGACGACAGCGGGCCCGGCGAGCGACGCGACCCTGAACCGATCCCCATCCCCGCCAGCGTGGGCTGGGCCACACTGGCCGATTTACCCCCCCTGATGGGGATACCGGCTGCTCTCGTCGGGTCTCGAGGGGCATGCCCCCAAGTGAGGTGGTGAGACGGTGGGGCTCGAGACGTGGATGATGATCATGGGGCTCGGGATCGGTTCCACGATACCGAACCCCAAGGGGAGGCCATTGCGGAGCGCTCCGCAGTCAGCCCCGCCTTCGCCCTCCAGGCCTCCCGTGGCAGCGGCGGAGCCCGCTGCCCCTGCTCGCCTCCAGCGCCCCTCGCGCGAGCCCCGCCACGCCGTGGCCCCGTGGCGCCGAGCCCCGCCCTCGCCTCCCGCAGCCCGCGGAGCAGCAGCCGGGCCCGCTGCCGCTGCTCGCCTGCTCCTGCCCCGCGCGGTGCCGCTCTGCTCCCGGCGCCCGTGCCGACGGCGCCGAGCCCCGGGCGTGTCCTCGAGCAGCGACGAAGAGGTCCTCGAGATCGAGCTCGCGCGCGCGCGCTGACCCGAGCGGTACAGCAGATGACGCCCAGCTCCGGCCGCTCTCCCCGAGGCTCGCCGAGCAGCGGCAGGGCCCGCGGTCGGGCGCGGATCCCAGCGCCGTGGCTGTCGGCGTCGGGCTTCCGCTTCGCCGCCCACCTCACGCCGAGCAGGGTTGGGGCCCGCTGCAGCTACGGGCCTATCTCACAAGTGTGAGCTCAGCGCTGAAGCAGATGTTACATACCCTCCCGCACTCGCTGAGCAACGGCAGCACCTGCATGGCATGCCCGCTTCTATCGCACGCGTCGATGCCAGCTTTGCAGTTGATGACGTTGGGCTCAAATTTGGCTTCCCACATCTCGCTGAGCAGCTCCAGAGTCCGCTGCCACCGCTTGCATTTCATACACGCGCTGACCCCAGCGTTGTAGATGAACTAGGGCTGACCCGTGGACCACCGTCCACAAGATCGCACTCGCATGCAAACATGAGGATTGCAGCGCATGCGCGTGGTAAAGCTCGCTACATGGCACGGCAAACATTGCGAATCATGGCACAACAAAACATCCCAGACGACAAACCTCTTCGCGACAAAGCACTGTGCAGGGAGCGCGCTATACGCTCTCGACAAGCTCCGACTGACAGCGGAGTTCGAGTAGGCCGGCCCAGACGGGCTGTCGATCAGACCTTCGACATGCCGGCAAGCTGCAGAGTTGAATCGGACCCAATCAAGGCCAACCATGACGGCAACGATAAACCGTTGCCCGGCAAAGTAAATGAAAGAGATGCCGCTCAGCCACTAAGATACCGCTCAGCTCCCAAGTCGTAGAGCAACAGTAACACGTGCATGCCACGCTCGCTCTTACCGCACGCGCCGAGTCCAGCTGCGTAGCTGATCAGGTTATTCTTGTAGATGAAAATCAGGGGTAGCAAATGGCACAATCACTATTAGGACCGTCTTGGGCTGTCAAGACGAGGAGGCCCGAGACATTTCAGATATAAGGTTTTCGATGCGTGTGGCCGCCTTGGGGCTGAAAAATTGGGGAGGCCGTCTCAGGCCTCTTCTGGGCCATGTTGGGGGCACCTTGAAGCCACCTGGGGCTGCCCTGAGGCGCTTCGAAGCTCTTTGGCCACTTGGGGCTGTCCGGCACTGGCTTGGGGCTCTCCGCCAGGGACCCTCCTAGGTCGCCTCGGGGCCGTCTCAAGGCAGTCTGGGGATACCCTGGACGCTACTTACCCCAGATTTCGTAATAAAGGGAGGGGGGTCTCATTTCGAGGGGGGGTCTCTTCCAGGCTATCTTGGAGGGCCTGGGGGTCTGGGGACGATGTTTTGGAGGGTTCTCCCACGGGGGAGGTCTGAAATGGCTTGTCTTTGAGGGTCCAGACCCCCTCCCTTTTGTTACGAAATCTGGAATAGTCGCCCTGAATCCCTCCTGGTGCCGACTCGCCAGCTCTCTTGGACCCCTCGTGGGGGGCCTATCGGCGGCCTCCCGGCCCAGACGTCCCAGCCACATAGCACCCTGCTCCAGCACGCACTGCGCCAGAACATGGATGCGGTCAGGCTCCCGCGTCGCCTCCCACACCTCGCTCAGGGCCATCTTGGGCCGTCTTGGCGTCCCCTCAGGGCCGTCTTTGGCAAGCTCGGGCTTCCCCTGGGTCTTCGGGGCCTCCGGAGGCCCTCTTGGGCATTCCTGGGGCCGACTTGGGCCATCTTGGAGGCTTCCTGCGTCACTCTGGGGCACGCTTGTGCCGTCTTGGAACCTTTTCGGAAGCCTTTTCGGGGCAGCCTGGAGCCCACCAGCTCTCTTGGACAACTTTGAAGCAGCGCGAAGCTCACCTGAAGCAATGTATCTGAGGCCTCGCTTGGCGCCTCTGTGGTCCTCTCTTGGCCTGCTATGCACCCTGCAACGCCTCTTAAACCTCTGCGACCTGTTCGGGCCGTCTGGGGATCTCTGAAGCCGTTTCTGATGCCATCTTGAGGCGCTCGGGGCCAATGTGGAGGGTCTGGCCCCGCTGGCCCGTTTGCGAAGCTGACACAGTGCGCCTTTCTCGCACGCACTAGTTCCAGCATTGTAGAAGAGACTAGGGCTGACCTGTGGACAAAGTCCACGAAATCAGCACGAACTGGCATATGATTGTGGACATGCTGCGGAAAGGCTGAAATGAGAACGTGGGGCTCGAACTTCGCATTCCACCCATGCTGCTGCGTGGTGCTGCTTGCTGCCGCTGTTGCGTGCTGTTGGCAATGCGTGCCGCTGCTGCGTGCTGTTGCTGCGTGTGGCTGCACGGTGCTGCTGGTGGTCAGTTCTGCTCGGTGCCGTACTGCTGCCCGCTGCCTGCTGCTGCTTGCTGCTGCTGTGTGCTGCCGCTGCTGCTACCTGTTTCGTGCTACGTGCTGTTGCCGCCCGCTGCTGGTGCTTGATGCTGCAGGATGCTGCTTCTCGCTACTTCAGCTTGCTGCCGCACTCTGCTGTCGCGAGAGGGCCGAAGTTGAGGACTCAGGATCGAGGAGATCAGGAGGGAGGAGTGACGCCCGAGGCGAGAGGGGCGAGGAGGGATGAGGGAGAGCCGAGGGACCTATTGGGAGTCCCTTGGGGCCTCGTGAGGGGAAGCCTGTCGGGATATCTCTCTGGGGCCTCTTAGGGAGTTCTTGGAACCCTCGGAGCCTTCTTTTGGGCTTCTTGTTCTCCAATGGCGCCCTCCCGGGCCGCCTAGAGCCATCCGGCCACCGGGAGCTGCCGGGGACGTTCGGCGGGGGGCCTGGGGGCCATCTTGGTGCGTTGCTTTGCAGCCTTGGGCCTGTCTTGGGGCCATCTTGGCGCCCTCTTGGGCCATCTTGGAGCACTGTTGCGCCGTCTTGGAGCCCTGTTTGGCAGTCTTTGGGCCCTCTTGGGACCTCTTGGGGACTCTTCGGGTGTCTTGGGGCGATGTAATGAGCCTCTTGGACCGTTTTGGCCGCTCGGAGTCCTCAAGAAGCGAGTATACGAAAATCGCTCAAACATCTCAAGGAACTCAACAGATGTTGCTTCTGGAGGCCCTCTCGGGGGTCCCCTTGGGCTTTGTGGGCCCCGGAAACGACAGGGCCGTTTTTTCACCGTTTCCAAAAAAATGTCACTTGAAAATGGAAACAATAAAAAAACGGCGACCGGAAACAGCAAAAAAACGGCTCCAGGATTGGAACCGGAGCCGGAACCGAGCAAAAACCGGCGAGGGAACCGGTAAAAAAACAGCGTCGGAACCGGCAAAAAAACGGCAAAACGGAACCAGTAAAAAAACGGCCCTGCCGTTTCCAGGGCCCACTAAGCCCTTGGGGCGCTCTTGAGGCATCTTGGGGGCCTCTTGGCCATCTTGACCCGTCTTGGAGCCGCCTGAGGCCTTGCGGCCATCTTGCGACAGTCTGGAGCCATCTTTGAAGGGGCCCCAGGACACGCAAATAAATACACACAAATAAAACTATTCCCCATATTTTACCATATTTTCTTAGTTTTTGTCTTCCCCCCCACTTCCCATATTTTCCCATATTTTCTGGGGGATCGACGATTAATTGTGTCTGTGTTTTTTCCCCTCCTGAACCCTCTGGAGCCATCTCGGAGCGCAGCGGGGGCCCCCGAGCGTGCCAGGGCCTGCAGAGGCGGTTGAGGACCTTTTGACCACGGTACCCTCCTTGCGCGCAGCTCCCCCGGCATTGCAGTATAGGCCAGGGCTGCCCCGTGGACTACAGTGGGGACTCGGCCACAAGAAACCTCCGCAAAAAACCCAACCCTGAGATCCGCGATTTGTGCTGTGAAAGTCCACACGTGTCGATCGAGGATCGTCAGGATCAGATTGGAAGCCTATCGAAATCTGAGAAACTCAGGGCACCCTGGCAAAATCCAACTGGTTTCTTGGCACGCGCCCCCACTGTACCGTCCACACAGCCTGATCGCACGGGCATGCGATGTGATGGCGGAAGTGCTGCCGAAGCTCGTTCACGTTGACGCCGGGCCCGAGGCCCGAGCAGCGGGCAGCGGGCAAGAAGCGAGCAGAGAGGAGCGAGGGGAGCGAGGAGCGGCGAGCGGGCAGGGAGGAGGGGGCCGTCGCGGGCTCCCTGGGGCGCTCGTGACTCGTGGGGCCGCGTGGAGTCCGTCCTCGGGCCCTGCCGCACCATCCTGGGAGCCTCCTGGGGCGGCTCGCGAGAACGTCACACGCACCCGCGGGTCGGAAGGAGTGGACAGAGGCATGAAGCGGGAAAGCGCGGGAAGTAGACCGGGCTTCCGCCCGCCCCCCGAGGACGAGGGAAGGCCACTCCGCCCTTGAAGTAGGAAGGCAACCTAGAGCAGATTGGGACTCGGGCATCCCAAAATTGACTACCTACCAGACCTCCCCAACCCAACCCGAAGACCCGAATTTGACCCGAATTTCGGGTTGGGGGGGGTATGGGTTCCATATGTCTTTTCAATGTTCCCCGACCCCCCCCCACACTGGAAATGGAGGGCAAATTGAGGCCTTCGGGTTGGGTTGGGGTGGTTTGGTAGGCGGCGAAAAATACCTACTCTCAACGACCGACGGGCACTGTCGTCTGCAGGGCAGGAGGAGTCGCGTCGGGCTCCAGCTTCGCCCGCCGCATCTCGCCGAGCAGCCGCAGGGCCCACTGCCACTGCAGGCCTTTCTCGCAGGCGCTGATGCTGGCGCCGTAGCTGACGGGGGCTGAAAAGTGGACCCCGCCCACGAAAGCCAGCGTGTCCAGCGAGTGATTGCTGCTGCTTGCTGCTGCAGGCTGCCGCAGGCTGCCTACTGCTACTTGTGTGTGTGCTGCTGCGGCTGCTGCTTACGGCGGCTTGCTGCTTGTTTGCTCCTGCGTGCATGCTGCTGCTGCTTGCTGTTGCGTGCTGCTGCATGCCGCTTGCGATAGCAATGTGTTGCTGTGCATGCCGGTTGCGGCTGATGCTTGTTGTTGCCGGTTGGTAGCTCCGCTAACTGCCTGGTGTTGCTGGCTGCCCGTGCCTGCTGCTACTGCTGCTGCTAGTCTCCGGGACACCTGTGCAATCTCTCAGGGCTTCCTGAGCCGTGTTGGGGCATGCGGACTGTCGCAACGCCAGCGCACTCTGACAGAAGGGCTTGACGTTGCAGCAAAAGAAATAATACTACGCAGCATCTCGGAGAACAAGCTCGGCGGACACAATGCGGAATGGAACAACAAAGCATCCAAAAGGACAGGCTTGATCGCGGCACAGCACGGCAGAAGCAACGCAGCATGGCAGAACACAACATCTGAGTGGCTGTCGGCGGCCGCGCGGCCTCGTAGCTTGCTGCGCGCTGCTGCCGGTGCCTGTTGCACATCGCTGCTGCGTGCTGGTGATTGCTGATGCCTGCTGGCATGGTATGCTGGTTGCCGCTGCCTGCTGCTGCCTGCTGCTGCTTGCTGCTGATTGCTGCTGCCTGCTGCTGGCCGCGGCGGGCTGCTAATGCTTGCGACCACCAGTCGCTGCCTCATGCTGCGTGCTGCGGACTGCTGCCGCGAGCTGCCGCCTGCCGCAGCCTGCTGCCGATGATCGATGCTGCTCGGTGGCCAGCTGCCTGCCTCTGCTTGCCCCCGCGTGCCGCTGCCTGCTGCCCACACTGCTGCTGCTTGCTGTGATGCTAGTGGAAGGTGTTCGCTCCCGACCGTCGGACGGCGGGGGAGTTCTGGGAGAGTTTGTCGCCCACGTCGCGCCATCCCACAAGGGACGGCTGGGAGATTTGGACGCCAGCGTCCAGTCTTCCCTGGCAGCAGCGTGAATCGTCGATGCTGGAAACTCGGGGCCCTGAAGAGCATTATTGGGATCATCTTGGGCAGTCTGGCAGCCCTGGGAGAAGGATCAAGTAGAGATATCTTGGGGCAACCTCTCGTGCCATATCAGGGCAAGATTGAAACTCTCTGGAAGCTCCCTGGGGCTATGCTGGACCCCTCTTGGGCTCTTGTGGGGCCTCTATGGCCAGTCAATCCTGGGGTTCATGGGGGCCTCTCGAAGCGCCTCTGCAAGGTCTGGGGGGCCGTCGTGGAAAGGTCTTATAGGAGCATCTTGGGGCGACCTGGGGCAGTCTTGGAGCCTCTTGGACGCGTGTTTGGGCCTACTGGAAGCATCTAAGAGGCCGACCAGGCCCACCTTGAGTTAACAGGGGGCGTCCTGAGACCTCGAGGAGGCTATTGTGGACCTCGAGGGCACCGGTGATGGCCATCAGGCCCCTTCCTGGAACCATCTGGAGCCGAAAAGTGGAGAGTATCGAACATGCATGGGGAATCAACCAACGTTGCTGGCTGTATGTCTTGCTCCTTGGGCCGTCGTGAGAGCTGCTGGGCGGTCTCCGAGGACATCTGGAGGTGTAGCCGGAGGCCCCAGGGACTCTCGGGGACCGCCTCGAAGGGTTCTGGGGTCCCTGCGAAAGCCCAGTTGAAGCTAGTTTGGGCTCTCTGGGCCTCGTCTGAAGCTCAAGCTACGTATGAAAATCATGCGGGGGATTGCCAAGCGAGATCTGCGCCAAGGCTACGACCATGCGGAAGCAGAACAAAGTTCAAGCACGACTACTGCTAAGCAGAAGCTGCAGCGAAGGATTGGCCAAGCTAGAGACGGCTGAGGCTGTTCCCTGCACCACTTCCAGTTCCCAGTTTCCACTGTTACAATATTGCTTGATGCTGCTTACTGTTCCTTGTTGTAGACCGCGCGAGGGGGGGGGAGCCGAAAATCAGCAAACCTAGCGTCTCCCGTGAGGGTTCTCAAAATTTCTGGGGTGGTCGAAATCGACACCCCTCACGCACATCGGCGGGGTCAGGGTCCAGAAACACATGGGATTTGCCACATTTCTAAAATTCGGCGGCGCCCCTCACGCAGATCGGCGGAGTCAGGGTCGAAAAACCAATGGGATGTGCTACATTTCTGAAATTCGGCGGCACCCCTCACGCACATCGGCGGGGCCAGGGTCGAAAAACCAATGGGATTTGCCACATTTCTGAAATTCTGCAGCACCCCTCACGCAGATCGGCGGGGTCAGGGTCGAAAAACCAATGGGATTTGCCACATTTCTGAAATTCGGCGGCACCCCTCACGCAGATCGGCGGGGTCAGGGTCGAAAAACCAATAGGATTTGCCACATGTCCGAAATTCTGCGGGAAACCTCAGTGCACAGCATACGGGGGCAGTTTCAAAATTCAACACTGAGTTCAACAATATCATCGGAATCTCAATTTCTCTTGCCGATGCTGCTTCACGGCGGCGTCGAGGCCTCATGATTTAGCTCTTGCATAACCCATTATCCGAGAGAGGGGGCCGGCGGCAGGGGGCGAAGCCCTTGCGGATGATACAAAAATGGCCCCCGTACTATGTTTTAACTATTTTTGAATACTCCTCCTGTAGAGGGACGTGCCCGACTTAAGACCAGGATGACGACTGAGGAGACAGAGGGAAGAGAGGAGAAGCCACTCGGTGCACAGCCGCTGATGGCACACAGGGGCTCCTGCATCGCAGCTTGCCCTCTGGCACGCCGTAGGCGCCCTCTTGGGTCGTTTTGGGGGGGCATCGTGAGGCCTGCCGGGGCCATCTTCAAGCTCTTAGGCGCTCTCCGGAGGCTCCCTGTAGGAAGCCTCTTGCGGCCGCCTCGGGTCGTCTTCGGGCTCTCCTTGGCCGTCTTGGGGCCCTCTTGCGGCCTTCTTCAAAGCTTCTCGAGGCCTCGGCAGCGCTCCAGAGGCGATCCCGGCCCGAAAAGCCAGAAGGCGGAACCATTGGTAAACGCACAGGTACCACTCGATCTCGGCCGGCGGGGGCCTCGCTTCGCGCCACATGGGATCCTCTTCGAGCGTTCGGAGCGCCCGAGAGCTCCCCAAGAGCTCCACTGGGCCGCCTCGGGCCCTCGGGGGGACCGCGCCGGGCGGGTCACGTCTGCAGGCATGCCGAGGGCACCCCCTGGTCGTATGGGGCCCCGGGGAGGGCCGCGCCTTGGCCGTGCGGGGCCTGTCGCCGGATGCCTCTCGAGCGCGCTGGGAGGAGCCATGTGGCTTTGGTGACGTCGAGCTCCAGCTTCGCCTCCCACATGCCGCTGAGCAGCGACAAGGCCCACCGCCACTGCTGGCCCTTATCGCAGGCGCTGATTCCTGCGCCGTAGCTGATGACGTCAGGTTCCAACTTCGCCTCCAACATCTCGCTGAGCAGAAAAATGGCAAGCTGCCACTGCTGGCCTGCCTCGCACGCCTTGATTCCTGCGCCGTAGCTGACGACGTCAGATTCCAGCTTCGTCTTCCACATGTCGCTGAACAACGACAAGGCCCACTGCCACTGGTTACCTTTCGCGCACGCGCTGATCCCAGCATTGTAACCGACTAGGGCGAAGCGTGGACTGCCATCCACGACAGTTTTCTTGGGCGGCCTGTCTGGGGACGGGACTCTCAGAGGCTGGGATCTGTTGGAGACATCGTAGAGACTCTGGAGCAACATTGGGAGCAACTCTGGGCAGTCTGGCAGCCCTGGAAGCTCGGGAGGAAAGGAGCAGGCAGAGACATCTCGGGGGCCATCTCTCGGGCGATAAGAAAGCCAAGCTGGAGCTCTCGGGAACCATATTGGAGCTCTGTTGGGCCCGTGTTGGGTTTCGTGGGGCCTCTCTGGGGCATTTCAAATAGCATGGGGGTCTCGCGGATTTCGGGAAGCCATTTTGGAAGGCTTCGGGGCCGTCTGGAGGGTCACCTTGGGATATTCTGGGGCCGCCGTGGAGACAGATTGTGGCCATCTCGGGGGCACGTTGGAACTGCGTATCTTGTGCCATCATGTGGCCATCCGTGTCATACTGAGCGGAAGAATGGAGTGCCGAAAGTGCTCGAAAAGCTTCGACGTGATTACAACTGTCGCCGCTTGGCAGCCCTGCCGCTTGGGAGCTCTGCGCAAAGCCATGTGGGAGCCCCGTAGGGCGATCTTGGCGCCATCTTGGGGCGTCGTGGAGCGTCTGGGGCTGCCTCGGGTGCCTGTTTCGCGGCCGTGGGCGCTACTTTCGGGCTCTCTTGGGCCGCATGGGTCTTGCAGAGGGCTCCGCTGTGGGGTCGTGGGGCATGCCGGGCCGACTTTTGCTTGCATAGTTATGGCGCCCGTCTGGCACGCGGTGGCACCGACAGTGGAGAGGAGACCAGGGCTGACCCGTGGACTTTGACGTCCACGACAGCTTCTGTTGAAAATGATCAGGGCCTGCCTGACCTCAAGCCACGACAAGATAGCTCGTGGAGCTCGCCCAACGATGTACAGTCGGGCTACGCAAGATTCCAGAGGCACTACAATCGGCCAGATGATCAGCATGCTCGTCCACGAAAGCGTAAAGGCATGCAGGGGTGAAGATAGTTGACCTGCTCGTGAGACGGCCAACTTGCAAGGTAGACGGTTGTCCATGTTGCTTGTTTCATCGCGTGCTCGTTCGCTCCCAGCCACTAAACCTATCGTTGCTCATGCTGTCAATGCGTGTTGCCGCTGATTGCTGCTACTGGCCGCTGCTGATGTCTAACTCAGGCTGCTTGCCTGCTTGCAAACTTGGCTTGCCTGCATTGCTTTCTTATCCGTCCGCTGCCGCTTGGTGCTGCTTGCAGCTTTTCGTTGCTTAGTACATGCTTGCTATTGCCTGCTGTGTCTTGATGATGCTGCCTGCTGCTTCCTAGTGCGTGTTGCTTGCTAAGGTTTCGCAGTGCTGAAGGTGGTATCTGTTGCATGGTGCAGGTTTTGGCTGTTTGCTTGCTGCTGGTTGCTGCTTACTTCTGCGTGGGGCGGGTGGTGTCACCAAACGTATGCTGCTGCTACCGCCTGATGCTCTTGCTCGCCGCTGCTGCTCACTGCCGCAGGCTGCTGCTATACGTGATAGTGCTGCTTGCTCGTGCTAATTCCATGCTGCTGGCGATTGCTTGCTGATTTCTGCTGCCTGCCTCTGGTGGCTGCTGCTGGCGCTGCTGCCAGTGGACGCAGGGGCCGCACTGGGACCCTCTTTAGACCGCACGGAGGGCATACTGGGGCCCTCTTGGAAAAGTCGCGTGCCTTCACGTTGGCAACGCGGGCCGCCGTGGCGCCCCCTCCACGGTTGCCCTCTCGTGTGCCAGATTGGAACTTCCATGGGCCGCCTCGGGGCTCTGCAGGGACGATCTGTGGCCGTGCCGGGGCTGCCTCGGGGACGCCATCTGGCCCCGCTGGCAGCCCCTCGGGACGGTCGAGGGCCCTCTTCGGCAATACTGATGTCTTCAAGGGGCAATATTGGAGGCATGCTGTGGCCTCCAGGAAAACTTCAAGAGGGCCCACAACGCCCCCAAAGGGGCCCCGGGCCCCGGGCCCCAGGAGAGCTCCACGAGAGCCTTCGGGGCTTCCACAATTGCCCCAACACGGCTCCAACATTTTTCCATCAGGCCTCCATGGGGGCTATCAGAGCGAAAGATCCGCTAAGGTCTTATCGTTGAATCATCGTCGTCCTCTTCGCTGCCTCCTTCCCTCCCGTTTTTATCCTTCTCCTCCTCATCCTCCTCCTCCTCCTCCTCCTCCTCCTCCTCCTCCTCCTCCTCCTCCTCCTCCTCCTCCTCCTCCTCCTCCTCCTCCTCCTCCTCCTCCTCCTCCTCCTCCTCCTCCTCCTCCTTCTCCTCCTCCTCCTCCTCCTCCTCCTCTTCCTTCTTAACCCCCCACCGCGTCCTCCTCCTTTCCCTCCTCCCCCTCCTTCTTTTCCTCGTGTTCCTCCGCCTCCTTCTCCTCTTTTGAAAATGATCAGTTTGAATAATACGAATGATTTCCTCATCCTCCTCCTCCTCCTCCGCCTCCTCCTCCTCCTCCGCCTCCTCCTCCTCCGCCTCCTCCTCCGCCTCCTCCTCCCTTGATTCCTTCCATAATCTCTCTCTTTCTCTTTCTCTCTTTCCTCTCTTCTCTCTGACTCCTTTTCTCTCTCTTTCTCTCTCTCTCTTTTTCTCTCTCTCTCTCTCTCTCTATCTCTGTCTCTCTCTCTCTCTCTCTCTCTCTCTCTCTCTCTCTCTCAAAGCCACGCGGCGACCCCTTGACTCCGATGGCCCGCGCGCGCGGCCGCCGCGCAGCCCGCACGCTGCCCGCTGAGCCGCTGAGCCCACGCTGGAGTTCGGACCCTTTGCGGAATGGGGTGGGAAGGATAGAGAAAGACCGTACACTGACAAAACATCCGTAGAGGAACGTCGGCTTGTATGGGGTGAGAGGCAGGGCCACTCAAGGGATGTCGTAGCGGTTGCGGACGACGTAGTGCATTGTGTCTTGCGATGTACATTTGTCGGTAACGCTGTAGATGAGGTGGCGCAGTTGCCTCCGGGTCGACAAATATGCAGTTGTACCCGGAGCGGTCTGGCGTAAGGCTGGCCGTTCTCACCATCGTCATCATGAGGTGCCACACGAAGATCATGTAGTAGCTTCGGAAGGGGAGCAAGCAGGCGTCTCATACGGCGATGCGCAATGGCGATGCGCTGGTTGTGCGCGTCGTAGGAGATGTGGCCCGCCTCGTAGACGGCCTCTACGGTGCGGATCCGCAGATGGTGTTCTCCGTCCAATTTGCCCCGTTTTGGCTAAGATGTTGCGTGGATATCGTGGTAGAAGCACTTCCGATGGCCATCGCAGCTCAGCTGGTTGTCCTCGCAGCTCAGGCGGCCCGCGGAAATCTGCGGGTAGCCCTCGCAATTCCGCCGGTGGCCGCCGCAGTTCAGTTTGCAGCCCTCGCAGTTCTTGTGGTGGCCTTGCGGCTCGTGCTCCAGCGGTGGCTCTCGTAGCTCTAGCGGTGGCTGTTCCAGGTGAACGTCGTAGCTCTGGCGGTGGCTCTCGTAGCCCAGCGGCTGTCTCGGCTGGCTCAGCTCGTGGCCGAAGTAGCCCTCGTAGCTAAGCGCTCTGAGCTTAGCCAGTGACCGAAAATGGCTCAACTCATGGCCCTCGTAGCTCCGCTGGTGGTCCTCGTAGCTCACCAGATGGCCCCAGTAGTTTTGGTTGTGGTTTTCGTTGATCGGCGGGTGGCACTGGTAGTTCAACTAGTTCAACTAGTGAACTAGTGGCCCTTGAAGCTCTGCTGGTGGCCATCGAAACTCTTCTGGCAGTCCTTGAGGAGCAGGGGCTGCTTCTCGTAGCTCTGCGGGCCCTGGTGACTCAGCTGGTGACCCTAGACGCTGCGCGCAGTGTCCGCGTAGCTCAGCTCGTGGCCCTCGCAGTACTGCTGGAGGCCCAGGTGGCTCAGCTTGCTGTTTTGAAGCAGCTGCGGAAGGGTGTGTCGGCGGACCTGGTGCACGGCAGCTTCCACGTCGCCATGTCCAGGACCGTACGGTGGTAGTAGCGACGTCTCTGCTGGTCGAGGTAGCTGTTCCAGCCAGGTGGCAGGGAGGCTAGTGCCGGTGGCTCTCGAGTTCGGCGGGCATCCTGGAAGCTCAACATGTGGTCTTCGTAGCGTTGCGCGTGGCTCGCCAAGCTCAGCTGGTGACTCTTGAAGCGGAGCTGGTGGCCCTCTCAGCTCTGCCTCTTTCCGTCGCAGCTCTACTCGTAGCCCTCGGAGTTCAGCTGGTGGGTATTGGACTCTGCTCCCTGCCGTTGAAGCTCTGCTGGTGGCCCTCGAGGCTCAACTGGCGAGCCTCTAATCTCGTCTGTTTGCCATCGGAGCTTAGCTGGTGACCCTCCTAGCTCAAGTGCTGGCGATTGACGCTCTGCTTCTCGCCGTCGAAGCTCCGCCGGTGGCCCTCATAGCTCAGCTGGTGGCCCTCGCGGTTCGGTCAAATCCAGCCGTACCGACTATGGCCGGGCTCGTCGGCGACGTAGCCCGTAGGGCTAGGTGCGGGGTGCCGCCGACTGGGGGGATACCCATCTCGATACTCCGGTAAGGGCCCATGCCCAGGTCCACCTCGGGTTGAGGCGCCCGCGGGGGCAGCAGAGGCGCCAGCCCCCCAGCGGCCAGGAAGTAGTCGAGGAAAACGTCAGGCACGTTCATTTCGTAATCCCCGACGTCCGAATCGGAGTCGCCGGGTGCCACGTCGTGATGTTCCACGTTCCGAATGCCCCTGCTGTCCTGGAAGCTGTGGCCCTTTTATGGCCGTAGTCCAGGTGGCCGTCGTACTCGTCGTAGCATACGCGGCCGTAGTCCTGGGGTCCAGCGTGGCACAGGTGGCCATCGTAGTTCTGGATGGCAGTGTCATCCGGAGGGCCGTTTGCGCCAGTGGAGTACCTCCATGATCACATAATTGTGATCATCGTACTCGGCGTCGTGCTTTGCGTCGCGCTTGCTGTCGTTCATGGACGCCCTCGCGATGGGCAGCCGTGGCAATGAAAATGATATCGTCGGATCGGGGTTGTATCCCGTGTCGGACGTTGTACCCCATTCGTTCTTGGGCCGCGTCAATTCGCGCCCGTGCTCCTCTATGCTTGTACGGTCCCGGCGTACTTGCCAGTAGGTCTCCACCAAAATGGGTAGGTTCCATTGCCGTTAGCTAATGCTGAAAATGTCCACCATGTATTTCTATCGCCGGTGGCTTACGTTGCAGTCGCGGTCGATTTCCCTGTCCCGGATGTTCGCCCTCTGGTGGATGATGTTGTGCAGGAAGGCACCAACTATACACCAACACCGATCCTGGCCAGGATCACCCTGGGCCCAGGATCGGTGTATACGCCCGCCTGCCTTGGGCAGGAAGGCATAGAGTCGGGGCGTTGACCCAAGGAACGATAAATAGGGAACGAGGCCCTTCTTTCCCAGAGATAAAACTCCGATCTCCCACGGGAAACAGACGGAAAACCCAGGGAGCACTGTGAAAAAATAGGGAACACGGAGCCCCTCTCAAACGAAAAGGGTTCCTGCTTCCGCGGCCCGGCTGTTTGCGCCGACCCTGGGCCCATGGGGTGCTCCTGGGCCAGCATCGGTGCTGGTGTATTTGGCTGGTGCCTGACTACCTACCAGACCACCCCAACCCAACCCGAAGACCCGAATTTGACCCGAATTTCGGGTTGGGGGGGGTACGGATACCATGTGTTGTTTCAACGCTCCCCGACCCCCCCCCCACTGGAAATCGAGGATAAATTTGGGCCTTCGGGTTGGGTTGGGGTGGTTTGGTGGGTGGTGAGTGCCCTCCGAGCTGTGGTCGCGGCTGGCCCCCTCCTCGTGGCACACGCGCCGCCCGCTGCCGAGGGCGAGGCGGCGCGCCGAGGTCGGCCCCCCGGGGGCGGCCGCCGCGGGCGGGGCGCGGCGCCCGAAGGGCGGGTGCGGGGGGTAGATGTCCCACAAGCGGCCTTCGTCCTTCGCATCCTCCTCCTCCTCCTCCTCCCCCTCCTCGTCCTCGTTCTCCGCCTCCTCTCGATCGTGTCCTCCTCTTCCTCCTCCCCACGTCCCTCCTGTTTGCCAGAAGTTGCCTGGGAGCGCGTCCCGTCAAGCACGTACCCTTTCTGTTCACATTCCGCATCCTCCACCTTCCTCCGTCCTTTAACTATGCCTCTTCCTCTTCCCTGTTCCTCCTCATCCTTCTCCTTCGCCTCCTCCTGCGCATAGGCAACGTTCAACCCCAGGGCCGAACCCTACCTGCTGAATGCGTAGGGCTCCAGCTCGCCTTCGGATGTCGGATGGGTTCCCGTTTCGGTCCACGCTTGCGAGCCTGGTCCAGCCGTGGAGACGAGGAGCCCCACGACCGCACTCCGTCTGGAATGAAACAGGCGAGGCGGTAGAGGGGCGCGCTCGACTTTTGCCATTACGCTCGGGCTACAAATCCTGCGCCCGAGCGAGTCCTCGTACCCCCCTCCTCCAAGAGAAGGCAGCCGCAGGAGGAGTGGGAAGGTGTAGGACGAGCGGGGGAATGGCCCACACCCAGACCAGACAAAAGCCCATCCCCAAGGGGAAGGGTGCCCTGGCGCTGCGGGAGCAAAACTCAACGTTGCGCCATCCAATGGACCAAAAAAACTCCTCTCCCTCCTCCTCCTCCTCCTCCTCCTCCTCCTCCTCCTCCTCCTCCTCCTCCCCCTCTTCCTCCTCCTCCGAACATCAGCAGCATCTCCATCATCGCCATCATCAGCATCATCTGCATCATCACCAACATAATCATCACCACCACCACCACCACCATCATCATCATCATCATCATCATCATCATCATCATCATCATCATCATCATCATCATCATCGTCATCATCATCATCATCAGCATCAGCATCAGCATCAGCATCAGCATCATCATCATCATCATCACCATCATCATCCGCATCATCATCATCATCATCATCATCATCATCATCATCATCATCATCATCATCATCATCATCATCATCATCATCATCATCATCATCGTCAGCATCATGATCATCATCATCATCGTCGTCAGCAGCAGCAGCATCATCATCCTCATCAGCAGCAGCAGCAGCCTCAGCATCACCAGCATCATCAGTATCATCATCATCATCATCATCATCATCATCATCATCATCATAATCATCATCATCAGCATCATCATCATCATCGTCATCATCATCAGTATCATTATCAGTATCATCATCATAATCATCATAAACAGCATCATCGTCATCATCAGTACTATCAGCATCATCATCATCATCAGCAGCAGCAGCATCATCAGCATCATCAGTATCATCATCACAATCACCACCATCATTATCCTCATCCGCATCATCAGCATCCCCATCATCAGCATCATCGCCATCATCAGCACCACCATCATCATCAGCATCATCATCGTCATCATCAGCACCATCATCATCATCATCATCATCATCATCAGCATCATCAGCATCATCGTCATCATCACCACCAGCATCATCATCCTCACAATCACCACCATCATCATCGTCATCCGCATCATCAGCATCCCCACCATCATCATCATCATCAGCATCATCATCAGCATCATCAGCATCATCATCATCGTCGTGGTCGTCGTCCTCATGTTCATCATCATAATCATCATCATCATCATCATCATCATCATCATCATCATCATCATCAGCATGATCATCATCATCATCATCATCATCATCATCATCGTCATCGTCAGCAGCATCATCACCATCATCATCATTATCACGATCATCATCAGAATCACCAGCATCATCATCACCATCAGCACCAACACCAGCACCAGAATCCCATCAGCATCGTCAGCATCAGCATCATCATTAGCATCAGCATCAGCATCATCATCATCATCAGCGTCTTCATGATCATTATTAGCAACGTCTTCATCGTCATCATCGTCATCAGCATCATCATCACCAACATTAACATCAGCATCATCGTCATCATGACTATCAGCATCAGCATCATCATCATCATCAGCATCACCGCCGACATCAACATCGTAATCAGCATCGTCATCATCATCGTCATCATCACCATCAGCATCAGCATTATCACCACCAGCTTCACCATCATCACCAGCATCATCACCACCACCACCAGCATCTTCATCATCATCAACATCAGCATACTCATCATACTCGTCATCATCATCATCATCATCATCATCATCATCACCTTCACAATCCCCATCATCATCACCACCACCAAAATCATTATCATCATCATCATCATCATCGTCGTCGTCATGTTCATCATCATCAGCATCATCAACATCATCAGCATCAGCATCAACATCAGCAGCATCATCATCGTTATCAGCATCGTGGCCAGCATCATCATCCTCACTATCATCATTAGCACCATCATCATCATCATCATCATCATCATCATCATCATCATCATCATCATCATCATCATCATCAGCATCATCATAATCATACGGCAAGGCCGCAAAGGCATATGTGGCTCACTCTTGGGTTTGCCCAGGCTGATCCAAAACTTCGGTGTGACACCCCCCTCGCCACTCCTACGTTCCTCTGGTCAAGGCAAGCCGCATGGCACCGTTTTTGGGTGGGCTGGTGGGGATATTTTGACCAACAGGCTCGCGAGGCGGGTCGAAAGCCGTCCGAACACTAGTCGGGCCGCGACTAGGCAGCAGGAAAAGAAAGGCAAGCGAAGCGAGCGAGCGGGCAGCCACTCAGAAGGAGAGCCAGAACCGATACTCCCAAACCCGTAACCCGGTGGCGTTGGAAATCCTGGTGGCGACCCGCAGGTAAGCGGGCTGGTGGGGATACGCAAATCTTCCAAAATTTGGACTCCCTCCAGGGACGCTCTGGGGCCGTCCTAGCGCTCCCTCGGGGCTGTTGTTGGACCGTCTTGGAGGCTTCAAGGGGCGCCCGAGGGCCCTCCCAGGCCCTGCTGCTGTCTTTCAGGGGACTTCTCGGAGGCTCGCTGGGGCACCCCGAGGCCGCCTTGAGCCCACGTGGAGCAACCTGGGGGCGAAAGGCACAGAAAGCCGAGCACCTTGAAACGCTTGAAGGCCGAAGCCTGCCTTTGCCGTCGGTCCCCTCTCTCTTGGGCATCTCCGGGCATCTCTCGAAGCCTCGCGTGCGCCCCGTCGGTGACGCGCGTCTGGCGACGAGATGGATAGGTGGCGACATCCGGACCCAGCCCCCACCCGCGTACCCTCGATTCCCCTAAATCGCCGGGAGGCGGGGGCGGGGCTCGGACTTCGCCCCGTGCTCGACGAATTCCGAACCCTGCCCCCGCCCATCGAGTTGCCCGAATCGTTGATCTGCGTCGGTCGTCGGTCGTTCGTCGTCGGTTGTCGTCGTCGGCCGTCGTCGTCGTCGTCCGTCGGGTAGGGTTCGGATTTCGCTGCCGACTGGAATGACCCAGCGGGCCTCGCAGCGACCAGACTGGCGGTGCGGCCCGAGCACAGCCCCCCGGGGCAGCGCCGCCCTGGAACCCCCGAATACCACTCTCGCGTGCGCGGCTCCCGGCATTATAGGATGTGTTGCGTCGGGCTGCACCTTCGCCTCCCGCATCTCGCTCAGCAGGAGAAGGGCCTGCTGCCACTGCTCGCCCTCTTCGCAGGCGCTGATCCCAGCGCCGTAGCTGACGACATCGGGCTCCAGCTTCGCCGCGCACATCTCGCTGAGCAGCGACAGGGTCCACCGCCATTGCTTGCACGCGCTGATCCCAGCATTGTAGCTGATGACGTTGGGGCTTAAGTTCGCCATCCGCATCTCGCGAAGCAGCCTCAGGGCCCGTTGCCATTGCTGCTTCTCGCAAGCGCTGATCGCAGAGTTGAAGGTGATAATGGTAGGCTGCAGATTCGCCTCCAACATCCCGCTGAGCAGCCCCAGAGCCCGCTGCCACTGCTGGCCTTTCCCGCACGCGCTTATCCCTGCGTTGTAGCTGACTAGGGATGACCCGTGGACTTATGTCCGCGAGAACTTAACGGCATGCAAATGTGAGGATTGCTTGTATCCTTGACCGCGTGCCTGCCCTCCTGCCGGCCTGGTTCCTAACCTGATGGCCTGACAGCTTGTGGCCTACTTGCCTGCTGTCTGTCTTGCATGATTAATTGCTTGCTCCTCCGCTCGCTGCCGCTGGCTGATGCTTGTCACGATTGTTAGCATATGCTTATTACTGCGTTCGCTGCTACGGGATGACATCAAGTGGTTCTCGCCGCTAAGGACTGCTGCTTAATGCGGCTTGGGGCTCGTATACTGCTCTTTGGTGCTAGCTGATGAGTCGTGTCTACTGCTTGTCTTCTGCTGCTGCGTGCCGCGGCGTGCTGCTGCTATTGCTTCTGCTGGCTGTTGCTCATGCTTGCTTCGTGCTGTTTCTTGCCGCTGTGGGACGTTATGGTTGCCTCGTCGGTCTCTCTGTGGCCTATGCCTTTGAATGTAGAGCGAGGGGAAAGACGAAGCGGCACGACAAACCAAGTGATGAACAAGGCTGGGCAGCCGTCTGGGGGCACGGTGGAGCCCTCCAAGGGCCATCTTGACCCTCTGGGGGCAAGTTCGAACCGGCCTGGGCTTTCGTGGCCCAATCTGGCTTCTTTCAGAAGCCGTTCTGCGCAGTAAACTACGACTCTCTCGAGCCGTCGTGGGCCGTCTTGGAAGGCCCGTTGGGCCGCCTCGGAGCCCCCCCGGAGCTCGCCAAGGGAGGCTGCTGTGGCCCCTCTTGGAGGCCTCGGGGGGGCCTCCGAGGCATCTGCGGCAGGCAGCCTCGGGCGGCGGAGCACGCGCAGAAGCTGCAGCCGGCGTGCTGCCGCAGGGGACGCCGACGAGGGCACGGTGGGGCCCGCCTGGCCACGGCGAGCCTCGGCCACGAGCCAGCCCCCCCCCCCCGACCCCCCCGACCTGGAGATTAGGCACGGCCCCGAAGCCGGGAGCCCCCGACCCGGATGTGGGGACGTCTCCGGGGGGCCGGGCAGCGGCCCCTTGGGCGCCCGAGGGCTGTGCGAGAGCAGCGTCGGCCACTGCTAGAGTTCGGCTTCCAACGCGCGCGCGCTTCCTAGCATGCGGCCCTCCGCGCGCGCGCTGCCGGCTCTGCAAGAAGTCCTGGCTGCTGGCCGAGGGCAGTCTGCAAGGCCAACCCCCCTCCTGAGCCCAAGAGTGTCCTCGATCCTGGGCGTCTTCTCTGTGCTCAGGGCTCTGACCGCTCACCCTGTCCGGGACCTCGCCAGCAGCGGCTTCGGGCGTCTCGTGGCTAGACACAGCGCTTTCCACGACTCGCAGAGCAACTGCTCGCAAATGGCCCAGATCCGCCGCGGGGGATTTTACGATCCACTAAAAATATTAGGGGGTGAGGAGCGGTATAAAGAAAATGTGTCCGCCGTCGGGGACGCCTGGCCCCTGGGCGGCTGCAAAGTTCATATCGCTTCGGTGCCACGTAGGGGTATAGACTTTCCAGCTGCCCAGGGGGGCAGGCGCCCCCGACGGCGGACAAGTTTATGCTGTACCGTTCTTCGCCCGCTAAATATCTATAGATAGCGGGCGAAAGCGTGGCTTCCTGATATATAGCGGGCTAAATGTCGGAAACAACAGCGTGGCTTCCTATCTATTCCTCTTCCTCAAGATGGCCCAAGAGGCCTCCAGGACGGCCCCAAAGAGGCCTCCAAGAGCACTCCCAAGAAGGCCCCCCGAGGCAAAAATAATTGATTTTCTGTGCTTTTTGGTGAATTTGTGGGTTCTCCTCTTTTCGGCTTCCCGACGCTCCAAGACGGCGGTCTTCTGGGCGTCCGAAGCCGCCTGGGAGGCCCCCAAATCGCCCCACAACCATCCGAAAGGGCTTCCAGGCAGCCCAAGAGAGCCCCAAAACGGCACAACACGGGTCCAAGATGGCCCTCAGAGAGCCCCATGGCGGCCCAAGATGGCCCAAAGACACCCTCCGAAGAATTCCAAATCGTGATCCGGTCGTTCAGGGAGACGGCGGTTGAAGGCAGGGTGACCCGAGGAAGCCCCCGGAGGCCCCCAGAATGCGCCCAGGAGGCCTCCAGAAGGCCTTACGAAAACCCGAAACAACTTTTGTGAGCCCCCTAGAGGCTCTCCAAGGAGGAGCCTCCGCAAAAAAGAGCTGAGGAGGATGGGGAGAATGCGCAGTGTATGGCGAAAACAAGGAACAATAAGCATGGAGGAAGGATAACGAATAACATCATTATAGCGGCGATGCCGGAAAAGGCAACTAGGAGTTATCGCTAAATTGTCGGCTTGACCTTCCTGCCATTCCGCCTGCATACCAAACTTCAAGAACCAAGGTGCATGGCGCGAAGCGCCACTGCAGGTTTGTAGACATATATATAGAGATATCTATGTATATATATGTATATATACCTACATACCTACATACCTACCTACCTACCTACCTACCTACCTACCTACCTATCTACCTACCTACCTATCTACATCCATCCATCCATCCATCCATGCATGCATGCATGCATACATACATACATACATGCGTGCGTGCATACATACATACATACATACATACATACATACGTACGTACATACATACATACATACATACATACATACATACATACATACATATATACATACATACATACATACATACATACATACATACATACATACATACATACATACATACATACATACATACATACGTACATACATACATAAATACATACGTACATGCGTACATGCATACATACATACATACGTGCGTACGTACGTACATACATACATGCATAAAGATATACAGAACTACATACATACATACATACATACATACATACATACATACATGCATACATACATACATACATACATGCATACAGACAGACAGACAGACAGACAGACAGACAAACAGACATGCATGCATGCATGCATGCATGGATGCATACCTACATACATACACATACACATACACATACACATACACATACACATACACATACACACATGCATACACATACACATACACCTATACATACACATACACATACACATATACATATACATATGCATATACATCTACACATACATATACATATACACATACACATACACATACACATACACATACAGATACATACATAGATGCATGCCTACATGCATACCTACATACATACATAAACACATACCTACATGCGTACATGTATACATGCATGCATGCATGCATACATGCATACATACATACATAGATACAAGAAGACACGCTTGTGTTTCGGACGTTTGCGAGTATGCATTTTGCGAGTGGCGGAACTCGCACGGTGAATGGCGCCTCCCGCGAGGCGTCGGCGAGCCTGCCCTGGGCGTGCCGGGGCCGCCCTGGCAGCGCCCCTTCGGGGAGCCTCGGGCGAGCCCGTCCGAAGGGCCCCTGGCGTCCCGGCGGCGGGAGCTGCGCGCGGCGCCGGGCCCAAGACGCCCGGGGGCGCCCCGAGGAGCCTCGCTTGCAAGTCGGTCGGAAGAAGCGGGTAAAACCATGAAGCAGGGAGGCGGATCAAGCAACGATCAGGTTCAGAGGGCCCGCACCCAGGGCGTCCTGGGGCGTCCCGGGGTTTCCCGAGCTGCCTCCCGTGAGCTCTGGGGTGTTTCCTGTAAGTCCTCTGGACGCTGTGCCCGCCCACAATGGTCCAAGAGAGCCCCGACTTGCCGAAACATAGCTCAAATACGTTGTAAATAGCCTCGAGGCGGCCCCAGACACATCCAAGACGGCCCCAGAGGCCTCCAACAGCACCCCCACGAGGGTGCTGAGAGGCAACAGTCATTGATTTTCCCTTGGTTTTTGAAGGATTTCAGCGTTCGCGTATTTCGGTTTCCCGACGCTCCAAGACGGCCCACGAGGCCCCAAAGATCGCCCCACGACGGCCCCAGAGGGCCCCAAGACGGCCCAAGAGGCGGCCACGATGGCCGAAGAGGGCCCAAAGACGACCCCAACAGGGGGTCCAGACAGGGAATCCGAGCTGACATTTCGAGCCCTCGGCCCGAGGGGACCCCAAGAGGCCCCCAGAGGCCCCCAAAGAGGCCCCCAAAGAGGCCCCCCAAGAGGCCCCCAAGATGCCCTAAGAGCCCCCCAAGAGGCCCCCAAGAGGCTCCCAAGATGCCCACAAACTGCTCCCAAAAGACCCACGAAAGCGCTCCGAAGAGACGCGAAGCAGCATCCCTGAGAACTCTGATCCCCAACCCAAGCACGGTGGCGGGACGGGCCGAATGCCAGTAGGTCCGCTGCCCCCTGTCGATTCATCGCAGGGGTGCCTGGCGTGCTGAATCCTCTCGGTTCTGGTTTTGGTTCTTTTTCCAGAAGAACTCCCCCTGGGGCTTCGGCCCGTCCCGCCGGCCACCTGGAAAGGAGCTCAATTGCGCAATTGTTCCTCCAAGACGGCTCAAGATCGCCTACATGATGGCCACGTTGGCCCAAGATGGCCTCCAAGATAACCTCCGATGGCCTCCAAGTCCGCCCAAGATGGTCCAAGACGGCCTCCAAGACGGCCCAAGAGAGTCCAAGACAGCCCAAGACGGCCCAAGAGGCCCCCCAGAGGCCTCCAAGACGGCTCAAGAGGCCTCCAAGAGGTCCTCCAGGAGGGCCCGAAGAGGCCAAAATCATTGGTTGTTCTTAGGTTTTTGAAGGATTTTGGCATTCGCTGCTTCTCGGCTTCCCGACGACCCAAGGCGGCCCAAGAGGCCCCCAAGATCGCCCCAAGATCGTCCACGAGGCCTGCAAGAGGGCCCCATGACGGCCCAAGAGGCCTCCAAGATGGCCCCAAGAAGGCCCCATGACGGCCCAAGAGACCTCCAAGA